ATGAGCATCTTTAGTAAGCAACAATTCTATTCAAATTCGAAGCATTTACATCATGGTAGAGCTTTCATGTATAAGATTTTAACTCGAAACTTTACTTTAAATGCACCAGGAGAGCTTTCATCTATTCAAATTAGGAACATTTGTGAAAAAGGTCATACATGAAAAACTTCAGAAAAAAGTGAAAAGGGAGAGCAAGTTGTAGTTAATGGATCAAAAGCATATGATCTTTGTGCAGGTGCAACAGGCCTATCCTAAACCTACTACAGTGGCAGAACCCGGAAGTGAATTTAAAGCATAATGTGAAGTCACGTTGTGTGATTCAGGACCAACAATGGTTAGCTGCCTCGTCTTCTGGTATCTGCTTTGCTTATACAAGGCAAACCAACGAGGTATAGGCTGTGACATTTCAAACTCATCACTCAGAGAGTGTTAAAATCTATTAGTGTGTGGTGGAAAAGAATCATAGGATTTGTTTGAGAATCAGAGGGAAGTGAAAGAGTTATACAATTCTCAAATTTTTGTATAATTCTCCTTCCATTCTATTCTATTTTTTTTTTTCTTTACCTTCCAAAATTTTGACTTACCTAACATGGTCACAAATAATTCATAGTTCTAATAAGCTGAATTTAGTAGTTAAAATAACGTGACACCATTACACTGAAAAATGTACTGATATTGCTTTATCGAATAACCCAATACAATGCTCTATTGTTCTCGTCCTTGTTTTGACGAAGGTGGAAAGAAAATTCATTGGGTTCCTGGCTGGCAGGGTTAGGTCTGTAAACTCAGGCCCTGTATGATGGTCCAAATGGGCCCATTGAGCATCAGGGTTTCTGATTTTGGACTCGGTCAAGTACACTTTCAATAAAGTAAATCATACCATTACTTCTTATACCATTCCGGTTGATACCCTCGCCGACGAGTTATATTCTATATAACTATAATACCATATATTGCCTTTTTATACATACACTTATATTATTTAATTTTTATTTGTCTTTTAAAAATATAATACTTATTAAAATAAATTTTTTATTAATTTAAATTTATATAAAATCTTATAATTTTAATCTGATAAGAACGTTAAAATTAATAATTTGATTGGTTAATTTTATATTTTATAAAATTATTAATCGTATGTGAATGTTGAAGTTTGTTCCGTTATCAATTGACGCTCACGTGCAGCAACATTGTTATGCAACACAAAATTACAAGAGTAATGTTGTTATTTACATAACTTTGTTGAATTATTGACGTAACTATACCCAAAACTACCCATGTCTTGCTTCTCGTATACCTTTCCTTATTGAACCCGCATATGGCCAAATCAGCATGTGCAAGGGAATATGTTTATCGAAAGGTTTCGCCTTTCAACAAATAAGATTACGTTTGCACACTCAAAGTATTCTAAATGACGATAATTTTATTTTATGACTGAACGTTAAAAAGTTTTTTTTTTTTTTTTTAAATTCTCTATTCTTCTTTTTTCTTTCTTCTCCCTTCTTATTATAAGCAACTGCAAAGTTCTAAGGATGAGCCTGTACATGGGTTTCAATTAATGTCACATTCCACTCAGAGTTAATAAAGTACAAACGTTTGCTTTCTTTGAAATCCTAAAATCATACTGTACAAAACATTTGAAATTATTCCTTTCTCGATTATATTATAAACCTTCAATTATTCGAATAAAAAACAATGACGTGCGACATCTGTGTAGAGAAAATAACTGATGATGATTAAATTCAGATAAAAAACGATTTAAAAACAAAAATTACATATTATAATTAATGGTTGTAAAATAACAAAAAATGATTTTTTTTAAAAATTTCTTCTTTAATTATATTATATCTATTTAACCCCTCCGTGTAAAATTATATAAACGCATTGGTACTTATATTTGAAAAAATATACATCACTGTCGCCCAAAAGTTATTTTCGAAATACACTACCCAGCCACCAGGTCAACAATGTTAGTAACTAACGGTACCACACTTTCCATGGCATAACAAATAATGCAATCGTTGCCCAAAAATAGAAGAATCTTCCTTGTGCAGCGAGACATGGAGTCATTAGATGGATGGAGCTTTGAAGCTTTGTGCCCAAACTAGAAGGAATGCAAACCCACACAGCTCAGCTGTTTTACCAGGTGACAGGTCACAGGTGACAACCTATTCGGCCACTGCAACTTTCGTTGATTCATTCATACGACGTTGATGGCTTGATCCAGATGTAGTTATTTCTTATACATTCAAACTAACATTTCACTTCGAGCACAAAAAATTGTAACAGTTCGCAATTTTACTGTGGACATTAGAAAGGGAGTGTGGAAATACATTACTTAATAAAATAACTGCAACAACAGAGCCTTATCGATACACGAATCATGTAGAGTCTTTCTCGGTTCATAATGACCAAACTTCACTTATAGTCCTGTAATGGGTCTCAGATAAAAGTAGAGGAGGAAAAGTTTATTAAACTTTCAGGAATTAACATAAAAATTGTAATGTTATTTGAAAATAACGTTTGAAACGATTTTGAAATAAATTAAGCGAAACAAGTACTACATCTTACACGAGCAATGTATGAGAATTTATTCGTCAAAGAATAAAGTATGACAATGACTATACCCAGGAAGGAAGATTACGACGTGACATTGAAGGCAACAGAGGGAAACCGGTCCATCTTAAAACCCTCCCTTCCATCGAGGAAATCCAATGCTCATGAATCAGCTGTGTGCATCAAATGGTGTTCAAGTATTGCGAAAGGAAAGGTAGTTGGTACGTTATGCTGTGGTTCAGTAAAACAATGATGCGTGTTATATGTTGCAGATGAGTATTTATTTGTCGCCGTCTGTGAGAATCAATAAATAGTATTTTTATTAAAAATTATGTTAAGTTGCGTTTATGATAGTGAGTGCATTTTTATATTTTTAATAGTTATTTGTTAGTATTAAATCTTTAAAATTAAAAAGACAAGATTTTATTTGAATCAATTTTTTGAAAATTTTTTATAGAAAAAATAGTATAAAAAAATTATTTCATAAGTTAGAAATAATTTATACTTCTCTATTTTTTTAAAAAATACCAAAAATCTCTTTTAATTAACTTTTTTAAAAATTTGAAGATATAAGATATTTTTCATTTGTAAATAATTTTTTTATTTATTATATTAACATTTTTTATTTTTTAAATAAAATTTAAGTCTTTAAATATTATATAATGATTGTATAATTATAAAAAAATTAATTTTAATTATTTATAAATATATGTTCAAGATTAAACTCTCTTGTACTAAAAAAAATTATCTCATTAAATAAGCTCTCATGCGAACAAGCGAATTTTTTTTTAATAGGTAAAATATATATTATTAGAAAGAGTTTAAGGAGAGCTCAAAACCTATATATATAAGGAAAAAACTAATACTTATTCATAAAAATAAAAAGTAAAAATATATTTATACAAAGTTAATATGGATGCAATTTCGTAGGTTCAGATACCAATTAGCTAATAAAATAATTTATTTCTTACTAAAAAGTGATAGTCATTTTCAGGATTTCAAAATAATATAATCTAAGACTTCTCTCTCATCTAAAATACTATTAAAAAAACACAATTTTATTTCTATATAACTACGAGGACCACATTGTACTTACCAAAACAATCAATAAATATGTCTATTTTCTTTTACTACAACCAATACTAACCCAAGAAAATAAGTAAGTCGATAAATTTAAATGCAAAACCAGTAAAAATCCAAACCAACGTGCAGTAAAATATTATATTTGAGATAAAACTAAACACGTTAAAAATAAATGAGTTTGGAGTTTCTCTAAATTATGATAGTAGTAACAGGTTATATCATTAAATTGAACACCACGATCAATCAACAAACCTTTTATAAATAAGTGCATTTAACAACAATTGTCAAAAAAATATAAAGTACTTGAGAGGAACCTTCTCTCTTTATAACCTTTATAATACATCTGTCGTACACTGTACACTGATCTACATTATTAGGATCACGAAAAAAAGTTCAAATAACTATAAATACGCAGATTACACTGAATAACAATTTGAAGAATTTTCTATAAATTCTATCTATAAGCTTTAACAAAAAATTAAAGTTTGAGATCTCATATTAAAAGAATATTTCACAAAAACGACGAGTGCATCAATAAAAAAATTAATAAAATTAATAAAATAGTTTAATATAATTTTTAACTATTAGATGTAATTATGATGTTTTAGATTAAAATATAAATTCACACATTTTGTCAATATTTATTTATTTATTTATTCTCTCATATTAAAAATTCCATTTCCCTATATTATCCACGTGTATGTGTACATACGCTATATAATAAAAAAAATTAAACTATTTTATTATTAAGTAGAATAAAATTTGTAAAGTACGTTATTTAACATATCAACTTAATTAATTACTTATATATACTTTATTTCTAACCGTGACCTTGCTAGAAATTGATAAGTTGCACCCCTAAATTTAATGAAAAAACGTATGTCTTATACTAAAAATATTATATACAAAAAAAATTATAACAAACAAAAAATTGTTTTTAATATATATTTAGATATATATATATATATATATATATATATATATTGTTTTTTAAAATTTCTAAATTATTTTCTCCTAAAAAAATATAAGCAATTTTGGTTGGAATCATTTTAAAGTTACAAATTTTGACTGGCATAAAGAATAAAAAAAACCATAAAATTTAAAAAAATATAAAATATAAAAGTATACTTGACGTAAAAAACAAACCCATAAAAATAGTATAATTTAAACATAATATACAAAAACGCTTCGATTTACGCATTTTTTTTAAAAATATAAAAGAATTATAAATATTTTGAATTGATGGCAATTCATAATTAAAGAATATTATAAAAAAGTATATTTAAATGGAATCCATAAAATGAAGCAGGAAGTAAAAGTGAAGAAAATGGATGAAAAAGAAGAAGATAAGAGTTGACGGTAAGCAGGAGAAAGAGTGAGGGGGAGAGTGGAAGGGTGGAAGGGCATGGCGTTGCATCCTGCAAATTGGAAATGGGAAATGGGAAATGGGAATGGGAGGAAGGGAATAACGCAAGTGGACAAAGGGAAATCTCTATCTATCTAAAATCTCCAAACAGGAAAGCAGAAAGCACAAATAATTACAAAGAGATGCGAACTCCCACGTAAAAATAATAAATAAACAGAGGGCTGAGCGGGGAGTAATAGTAAAGAAGAGGAACAGGAAGGAGATTAGTTGCTAATAATTAAGACACAAACATACGTGGCAGCTTAGGGTTCACCCCAACTCCTAAAAAAGCCCCCCCTACCCTTCCCCCGTTTTCCCCCCCTCTCCCAAACGCTGCCAACACTCTCTCTCTCCCTCTCTCTCAATCAGTACATGGTCCCACCCACCACCGTGTGCCGTAATCGGAAGCCATGAACGGCGCCGCCGCCGCCACCTTCCGATCCATCCTCGACAAACCCCTCAACCAGCTCACCGAGGATGACATTTCTCAACTCACCCGCGAAGACTGTCGCAGATTCCTCAAAGAAAAAGGTCTCTCTCTCTCTCTCTTCCACCATTTCCGCCACCTGAATACCACCATTTTCTTAATTCCTCTGAACATTATATTATATCATAATATTATTAATCGGGATGCGATGCGCTACTGATTATTATTGTTATTATTTAATTAAAAGCAGAATAATAATAATAATATTAATATTAATCATCTCTATTAAAGATTTAAAAAAATTGAATGGAGAAGACACGTGTTCGTACAGGGATGCGCAGGCCTTCCTGGAACAAATCGCAGGCGATCCAACAGGTCATTTCCCTCAAAGCCCTTCTCGAACCTTCCGACGATGATTCCCTCGCTCCCGCCGTGCACCACCATGCCACTCAAGTAGTCTCTCTATCTCTCTTCTCTTTTCCGCTTTCGTTCCTCACGAAACGACACTGAATGCCGTCAATCGTGGGTGATTGTAGGGGGACTTGAGAGAAGCTCCGGCAAATATCCCGGCGACTGAAGAACCCGCTTCTCATGCTGGAGAGGAGCTTCCGAAATCTTCATCTTCCGGGGAAAAACCTAAGGAAGCCAATGATGCCAACGTTGTTAGCCCCAGGTCTATTTCCCTTTCGTCTTTCTTTTTTCATGGATTTCAATGTCCTTTTTTTCTGACTATAATTTTTAAAAAAAAAATATCTATGTATTAAAGCTTTTGGGGGTGTTGAATGGCGTCCAAGCTAGTTGGATCTTTGATGGTGCTTTTGATACTTTGTGGGAAACAAAATAGTGTATGCTATGTAAAGTGTGTTCTCAATTGCAGTGAAGAGTGAGGGTTGCCGACTAGAGGGACTGATAGGATGATTTGGGTGGTTAAAACGTTAAATTTTTCTTCTCTTTTTTTTTTTTTTTTTTTCAAGTTTTTCTTTAGGCATTGGCTTGGAAATTTGGCCATTGTATATTTGTGCAGTTTGTGGCTCTTTAAGTTGTTAGATGTATTTCTGAGCTATAATAGATGTGATTATGGGTTGGATCTTGCTGTCAGCAAGGTCAGCAGAAAAGGTTTATGGTCATTTGAACTTTTGGATAATTGATAACCCTTGATTTCAGCCTTGGATGTGGTAACAAATTGTAACTTTAGTTGATGATGTGGAATCTCAAGGAGATTTTACTTTTAGTTGTAGTAAGTAGTAATTATGTGTCAGTCTGAATAAATTTCTTGAAAAGCATTTATACAAGGAGAAAGTAAGATAAATTGAGGAGGTAAAATGAACCAAACTTTTCTTATAAGTTACAATCAAATCGTGCATCTCAATCTTTTCAGAAGTTCCTTTATTTAACTTCTCTGTAAGTCGAGTGTGATATATTGATTTTAATGTGTGAGCAAAGTTTGATTCATTTGAATTTCATGGTTCATCATATTTTCTTTTCCTATAGGAGGTTGAGAAGTTTGTCCACATTATCGCTATAATTATCTCAAAAGAAAGTTGACATGAGTGTAGTAATTCGGTGTTAGGAACCCAAATGAGAAAATGGAGAAAAGAAAAAAAGGAATAATCTTGATTGAAAATGAAAACAACAAAGGAGAAAGAAATCTCTTAAGGGTTTCTCCTTCACAGTTTCCCTTTTCACAAGAGTTAATGCATAGTTTTCCAGATGAAAAAAAAGAATGAAGCTTCTTCCCTTGCATCCTTCTATTTATTTGTCTCACTGACCCCTCTAACTAATTAAGTAACTAATATTGTAACTTCCCTCCTTACCCTTTGTCCTATCATTAGGTGTTATTGATTTACTAAAATGTCTTCATTGATTGATATTTAAACTGAAAACTGCTCTTGTGCCATTCTTTACAAAATAGGAGTCAGGATACTGATAAGGTGCACAAAATATTGATTATACAACTATTTTCCATTTGAATAAAATGATTCAGCAACTTAAATAAATAAGAATCAATATTTTGTGTAATATATACATGAATAAAGGCAGGCCAATGTTCCTATTATGTATTGTCCATTAATGTTTGTAACATTACTTATGAATGTGGTCGCAGAGGGTGTGCAACCAGTGGATCATTTGGGCAAATGACTATTTTCTATTGTGGTAAGGTGAATGTCTATGATGGAGTCTCACCTGATAAGGTTGGTAACCATTTGTCCTCTTGCTTAAATACTTGGCCATAAATACAATAAATTTCACCATCCAATGCAGTAGTATTTGGATTTGTAGGCACGAGCAATCATGCAACTTGCAGCAAGTCCAATCCAGTTTACTCAGGATGATCCTTTAAATGGAAATGCAGCAGTTTGGGCTTCTCCTTGTCATGTACATATGGATAAGGATGTCCTTGTCCCTGTTGATACGACAATCCTTCAGGTTGCTCAAGCAGGTAGCAATTGGGTAGAAATATTGCTTAAATTTGCTTCAATGTATTAGCTTTGTGATGCACTAGGGAATGAGTCTTCTTTGGTGCCCACTGCATCAATTTCTGAAATTTCTTCAAGGAATGCATTTTTTCATCCAATAAACAGCTGCAGAAAATTATTGTAGCATTTTCATCAGCTTAAAAACAGGATTCAATTTATTTCTTGGAGCAGGATGTATCAACATGTTGCCTTGTTTTGTTTTTTACGGGCTTCAAATTCAAACTGTTATTTCTTATCATACTATTTCATATGCCATGTTTATTAAGTTTTTCATGCTAATGGCTGTTCCTTTTCTATGCAAGTGCAACAATAATTGGATGTGCAAACGTTATTTGGACCAAACTAACTCTGAATTCTGATTTTAGAATTATGGCTATCAAGTCCTTGTGTCTTGAAGGTGGATAAGTGTACCATATTTGACTTGTCGAAATCATGAGGACTTGCATTTATTTGGAACTAAAGATGTTGAGATGCACGCATTACACCTTTTGTTGTATTGGTAACTTTGTAATTGGTGTTCTGAATTTATTTTACAGATAAGATGGTGGAATATCCTCTGCAATACAGGGAGAAAGGTAGCATAGCCCGTGATGCTCGTAAGTATAACTAAGTTTGAAATTTTCAGTCAGCTTGAGCTATTTCTTGTTCTCTCATTTTTGGCAGATTTACAGAAAAATATTGAGTAGAAAATTAAATATTTTGATTAACCATTGGGCTGAATTAGGACCCATGCTGCTACAATTAGTTGTAAATTACCCTCCCTCCCAAAAAACAACCCCATTTCTTTTCATTTGATTTGACAAGTTTCTGGAGGTCCTTTTTTGTATTTTACCTTGGCATCCAAGGTCATATATTATTTTGTATTAAGAAAAACAATTACTTTAAAGTTTTATTAGTGGATAGCTATGTAGGCTACAGGAAAAGGCTGTTGTTGTTGCTCCTATTGTCCAAGAGTTGTGATGTTATGCTGCCATTTTTCTACCATAGTTTTGGATGTCAGTTTCATTTTGGAGTGCAAGAGCCAGTTGTGTATTTAAACACCATGTCTGTTGGTAAATTGCTACCATTACTTGAAAACTACCCCCCTCCAAAAAAAAAAAGTAAAAATAAAAATAAGCTAATATTAGAATAGGGGTGTATTTCTAGATTGTCAGATGTGCTCTACGTGTACTTCTAAATTGATCATGTATGTCTGGGTACTGATGCTGATACCATTCACAAAGTACGGTATAAGTCTATAACTTTTCCCCCTAAAAATGATCCTGTGTTTGTACAAGATATGTGTCTGATGCTCTTGTAATTTCCAGCCATTTAAGTATCTGGGCTAACAAGTAGCGTCTCCACTTAAATACCTGTTTAAAAGAACTTGCTCTTTGTGATTCTGAAAGCAATGAAATAAGATAAAATCTTGAGACTTTGATGATGTACTGTACCAATGCATTATTCACGTATAAAAGGAAGACTTCTGTTGCATTAAATATGTAGAAGAGTAAATACCTGATATGCAACTTGAATAACACATTCATGCACCCATGTGGTAGCATAATATGCATCTTAGATTGCAAGCATCTCCAAGAGAAATAGAGAATACTTGCTGTTTAAACTTTAAAGCATTGTATTAAGCTTCCATCGTTCAAATTATGAGAACAGAAGTATTCATAATATTTATTTGTGTTTCATAAGATGTAGAGGGCCAGGCTAGCAGAAAAGTGTCAGTGCAGCGGTATATTGAAAAGCGCAATCACAGGTATTTGCAGTACTGAACTGTCATTTGTTTATTGACATTAATTCCGTCCCTTGCGTTACAGGTGTATAGTTTAGTGATAGCCCCCTGCACTGTTCTCTTATTCTGTCTTTTATGATAGGGGAAGATTGAAGGGCAAGAAATCAACTGGGGTAACTTCAATGTATTTGAACCTCCCAGTGAAGGTCCATGCCCCGAATGGGAATTCAAGCCGTAGTAGCACTAGCTCTCCACCACAGCCTAGACTGCCTCCAGTTTCAAGTGGCTCAGCTGACAACCAGCTAAAAGTTGCCCTTCCCATTGATCTCAATGACAAAGGTCAGTCGCAATCTTTTCTTGAACTGTTAAGTAATAAACCAAATTTTTTCCCTAACAAGAATGTGAAAATTAGCTTTTCAAGATGTAAATCAGAGAATTCTAATGGTTAAAATAAATTAGATTGTCTTGCTTACTGTATTGATATTTGGGGATGTAAGAATTGCAAACCTTCTTACTAGCAGTGAGATGATGTTTGTCTGCAGTGCTTATAAGACAACCTTATATGTAAAACTTATAGCCACAAGGGATAATATTCTTGGTGGTGATAAAAAAACTAAGTGGTAAACCAAGATATGACAAATTGTCAGCCTCAATGCTAGTTTACCAAAATGTTTTTCAATATTTTCGGTCATATATTTATGTTGTCTCGGTGTCTTCGCAGATGTTCAAGAATGCCTAAAACTACTAGATAGATAATGCAGAGTTGGGACTCCGTTGATTGAAGAGAGATGATCAACATTATAACTGAAGAGACCATAGCTTCTAGGAGCCTATTGCAAGAATTGGGCTTTTCTTAGACCGGTCAATTTTAGTATCTTAACTACTGGGCAAATTTCTTTTGTTTAGGATAGTCGAGTGTCCTTACCTGATCAATTTTGTAATATCTGCCATCTAATTTCATCCTTCGGGAATTTCTTGTTAATGAAGTTTAAGGTTTTCTGAGTTAAAATGTAGAGCCAGGAGCAGCCATTTTCCCCAGGAATATATTATATGTAAATTCATCTTGCTGCCTCTTGTTAAATGTGAATAGCTTTTCTGCAATGCAAGCCAAACTAGTTTCTTACTTTTCTATTGTTTTTATTTAATCTATCGTTGCTGTTTTTTTATTCTGTTTCAGTATGAATGACTTCATTAATTTCAATGAATATTGACATTTAATATTTTGTTGTGCTATAACGTCATGCTTTTGGCCGCAAGACGGCCTTTTCGAAGTCTAATATATATTTTTGAGATTGGAAAAAAATACTAGTTAAATTTAGATCTTAATCCTTAATTTAAAAAAAGAAAATTTTAGCATAATTTTATTTTGAATGTGAAAAAATAATTTATTTTTCATTAAAAATCTATCGGCTTTTAAATTTTTAAAATCACTTTTGAGAATTGATATTTGCAAAATTATTAAAAATTATTTTTTGTGATTGGTGAAAATAGGATGAGTTATTAATGCTTAAATTTATTTTGTCACGTGATGTAAAAAGTGATATTCTAGAATTGTAAAAAATTTTTTCTCAACCATAAAATTAGATAACTCGAGACAATTCTGCAAGTGCATAAAAACAAACAATCCGATAAAACGACGATGACGATATTTTTGCGGGGTGGAAAAGACCCGCCACATGTACACATTACCCGATGGAAGAAGAGGTGCTGAAAAAATACGAACTGCACGCCACAATAATTTTATTATTATATTATGCAGTTTTATATTTACTCTTTTTTAATGTCTTATGGCAAGTAACGTATACTCTCACTCTCACCAGTCTTGGTTCATATATATAGAGAGAGAAAGAGAGAGGAGAAATTATAATAAAAGTAAGAAACGAGTGATCAACAGTTGAAAGTTGTGATTCATGGCGATCGAGGTGAGTTCTTATACATTTGAATGTAGGTGTAGAACTTTGTTTATTAATAAAAAGATTGTCACATGCCAGGCATGGTTCATGGACGATAGCAATGAAGATCCAAGGCTTCCTCACCATCGCAACCCACACGAATTTGTTTCCATGGACCAATTAGCAGGTGCGCTCATATCTCTCTCTCGAACTATTTATATAAAATTTTACTTCATTTATTGTGACGTTGCTGAAAACTGGTGAGTTTTGCAGAATTGGGGGTCTTATACTGGAAGCTGAATCCAAATGTCTGTGAGAACGATGAAGAGTTGAACAAGATTAGAGAAACTAGAGGATACAATTACACGGTGATATTCTGTTTAAATTTTCTATTAATTTCAATTAACTTTATTTTGTTCTCCGTAGATAGATTATTTTTGGTGCATCGTATTTTTTATTTTTTTTCTTTTTGGGGCATGTTTTCTGTGATTAGATGATGTATGAATTGTTACCTTTTCATTGATTTTCTTTCATGATAGAAGCTAGCATGTTGATTTCTTGTTTGGGAATGGTTAAATTTCAAGAAATAATTAGTTTTATATAATTTTTTAAAAAGTTAATAAAAAATAATTATATCATTAGAATAAACTGCTTTAAACTAGAAGGTGAAAGCCTGATCATGTTTGAGTAAATTTTTAGAAAAGTAAAAAGAAAGTCAATAAAAAATAAATAATATTTTTTTAATAAGTTGGAATTAATATATGTTTTTTTATTTTTTAAAAAGATCTCTCGTTTTATTATATTTCTTTAGGAGATTAGATGTTTTTAATTTACTAGGAAATTATTATTTTTTATATTTATTTTTTTATTGTAAGGATTTTTATGCAAAATTACTCAGACCGGACCTTGTCAAATAAATTTAAAAGAACTAACAAGAAGGCGAAGCCGACGAGTCCAAATAAGCTATTCTAATAATTTCCTAAATATAATTATAGTAGCACACTCGCTAAGACTAAACATGCTTAGCCTATTTAGAGATCTGGCGATTTCAAGGTTTATTTTTGGGCTCTTATTTTTTTAGCTGTTGTTGAAATTTTCTCTTTTAGATTTTTTTATTGGGGAAGGGAGCAATCATTCAAGCTTGCTATTAATTGCAAACAATTTGTCATGAATGTTCAGACTTCAGAGTGATAGTAACATTTCCTTCATCTTGAATATTTCTGGTTTATTTGGATATGCTGTAGGATCTGCTGGATTTATGCCCAGAAAAGGTGGAAAATTATGAAGAGAAGTTGAAGAACTTCTATACTGAGCACATTCATCAGGATGAAGAGATTCGTTATTGTTTGGAAGGAAGCGGCTACTTCGATGTGCGAGACAAGGATGACCGCTGGATTCGCTTTTTAATCAAGCCTGGTGATCTTATCATTTTACCTGCTGGAATCTATCATCGGTTCACTCTAGACACAAATAACTACGTGAAGGTATGAAAGTTTCTTATGCTAACCCCAACCATCAATTTCCTTTTTACGGCTACATTTTGTGGAAGGAAGAAAATGATGCTGTTTAAAGATTGTTTAGAAAAAACGCTTAGATTCAAGGCTTTTCTTTGGTTGGTTAATCATTGTTTTTTTGTGTATGTATTTGTGTGCAGTTAATGAGGCTGTTCAAAGGCGAGCCAGTGTGGACAGCATACAATCGACCACAAGAAGACAATCCTGCTAGAAAGGAATACATTAAGGGCCTGACTGAGAAAATAGGAATGCCACTTGCAGCTCATTAGGACCCTGAAATATTATTGTAATTAAGCTGTTTGAGACATAATGCTTACGGTTCTTGATGTAATTGTTGGTATATTTTTAGCTAAGAGAAGACCTGGGTATGAAGGTAAAACAGACCAAGCATGAGATTATGTATCAGATCTAAGAGCATGTATGATACATGATTACATACTACTAGTTTTTGTCACTTTCTGTGAATCTGTGTTCAGTTGTTGAAATCAAGTTTGTCCTTTGAGGAGATAATGGGATATATATCATGTTCGATAGGTAGGAGTTGAGAAAGTGTGGTTTATTTTAAAATTAAAATTTGATTTTTTTTATTTTTATTTTTTTGCTATTCAAAAGGGTTTTCTCAAACATCACAAAATAGTCAAAGACTTAATTTATGAATCTAAATGCCTAAAGAATCAAGGCAAGGAAAAGGTATGAGGAAAAAGGAAGCTGAATCAATACAAGAAGAAGATAGTAAATTATTTAAGCTTAACTTGCTAAATGATCAGCACAAGAATTAACTTTCCTATAAGCATGTATAAATCTAACAAATGGAATAGATTTTACAGCATTCTTAATTCTGGAAATAAGGTCATATAAAGGGTGGGTATTTACTTGAGCATTAAGGATAAGTGACAAAATTTCGTTAGTATCACTTTCTATCTAAATGGTAGAGATATCTTTTTGAATAATAAGATTCAGCTTCAATCAAATGCTCCACAATTCAGCTTCAACAGGGGAGCAAGGATCCAAATTTTGCAAAATCCAACAATAAAATAGTTTTTATCATCTTTGATTAAACCCCCCACAAGCTGTAGTCCTGACAACTTTAAACACTGCTCGATCAACATTTAGCTTCTATTGGTTAGTAGGAAGAGGGACCCATTTGATTTGAACATGATCTTTGACTTATTTCATGAATTATCTAGAGAAAAGATCGTCGCTACTAGAGAAGGCCTAAAAATCAAGAAAAATGTTTTGAATGAGGGCAAGTGATTGGACAGAATAATTTGTAAAAATAAAATTATTTTTCTCCTTTCACAATACCAAACAATAATATCAAATAAGCTATCCCAATTAGAAAACTTACTAAATTGCTTATTAGATAGATAAAGCCATAATGAATCATATATACCACTACTAAAAAAAGCAATCTATTACTTAGAGGAAATGAAATATTCTCAAACATCTTTAATAAAAGTACAATCTCTAATCACATGGATGACAAATTCTTCATCCTCATAACATCTGATACACAGAGAAGAAGACATACCTCGACGACATCTTTCAAGATTTGTAAAAAAATTATTGTGAGCAAGTTTCCATAGAAAAATTTTAATTTTGTGCTAGACTTCCCACTTTCAAAAAGCATTAAACAAGTTATGATATCCACTAGAAATAGAATTAGAACAATATAACAAAGAGTAAGTAGATTTTAGAATAAAAATATCATTATTGATCATATTCCAAAATATAGAATCAGGTCCTTCAGAAAATGAAAGAGGTTTAATTTTGGCCATAGTATTACAAACCTAATCAGTAAGGAGCTCAACAATTTCCTTCCAGTCCCAAACCTCATTTTTGGAAAATAAACAAACTGGAGTATCCTGATCTAAAGTAGAAAGAGAAACAAAGTTATAAGATGACAAAATATTCATCTTATGATACCAATTATCAGATCAAAATTTAACTTTCCTCCCATCCTTATTATGCTAACCAGATCTTGAAAAAAATATATGACAAACAAAAGATAAACTACTTTATAAATAAGAAGTTTTGAAACAATTTATGGCTAGAAAATTTTGGTCAACCCGAAACTTATATTTTAAATAAAAAATATAAAACTTATATTTTTTTATTTAATATTAATAAAATTATTTATTTCTAAAAATTTAAACCAATTATTGTAATATATTTTAATTAATTATGTAAAAAAATTTATTTTAATTTAATTATATTCGTGCATCATTTTCTGATAGAGAGGGTCCTCATCAAGAATTTAATTTTATAAATATCTAAAGTTAAATCGTGAAAGATAAGGCTGCTGCTTACTCTATTCGAACCTAAAAGGAAGTAAGCAGCTCTATAGCCTTTCTTGCTTTAAAGGTAGAAAAAGTCTAGCCCTTACCGTGTACCTTTCTTATGTTATAAATAGCAGAAAAATCACTAGCTTTATATAATCATTAGAAAACACGACTTTCACAATTCGATGCGTTTTTAAAATTATTTTTCTTAAAAAGATTAAGCAAATAAAATAAAAAATTTTAAAATAACTTTTTGTCTAATATATTAACCTAAAACTTATTTTATATAATTAATTATAAAATAATCAATCACACATATAATTAAGTATTAAAATGTTTTTACAATTAACCTAAACATATCGAACAAGCTCTTATGAAATAAGAGCTTATTTATATATTTGATTGTAAATTTTATTAAAATAAATTTTTAAAAATTGTTCTAACAAGTTTCTTTGTACATCAGGACTAGAGTCTAATATTTTGAGAGTGATTAAAACTTTTAATATATTATCCTTCAAAGAATAATATTCATATTATAGTAGAATTAGCCAATTTTCACGATCCATTACATGAGAGCAAAATTTTTTCATTCTTTTAAAAACTTCGTTATACAAGTTATCCATCACGCCAACGCCATATGTCATTTCCACCGTCCATGCAGCCCTTTGTCAATAATTTCCGGTGGACCTTATTTAATGTCATCTTTTGTTTCAATGGAATAAATTTTATTGATTGAAAAAGAAATATATTTTTTCCTCTAAAAATAGAGGAATGGGTACATATGTCGTTGAACGCTGATTATAGGCCAAGGGCGGCTAAGGCTAAGTCCCGCCATTAACGTGCATACTCTGCTTTCACTAATGGCTGCATTCTCTGTGACCGTTACCACTTCACCTTCTCCATGCCTTCTTCAACGCCGTCGTTTCTCCACTCCTTCACCTTCTACCCATCTTCATGTACCTTTTTGCTTTATTCTATCTTCTTGGCTAATTTGCCCTTTTTAGCTCGATGATTTTATGGATTATTCTTAAAAGTTTTATCTTTCCGTAATTTAGGGTTCATTTTCGCAAAATCAGAAAATTGGGATTTTCGATTACGAACGAAACTGGAGGAGGAAGAGGTAATATTCCAGGATTACATCCCTGTATTTACTTTACCAACTGTGCTTGTTCGTATTATGATTGTTCAACTTGGTATCATTTTGGGGGTTTTTTTCAACTTCTAGGGTATGTTTGATTGCGATGAAAATGGGCAAATAGAAAAAGGATAGTGTATCTGAACTTTATTGTGCTCAAATAAGTTGCCATTTTCACTCATACTACCAAGTGTAGTCATTTAGTGTTGTATTATATTATGATACTCCAATTGCTGAAGCTGTCAATAGTAAATTGGCGTGTTTGAATCTAAAAACAGGAGAACTTTAATGTGTGCAGTCAATCAAGATGCCAAGGAAGCAATGAAAGACACTGTCGAAACTGATAGCCTGATAGGTGTGCTGGGAGAAACAGATTCTGACCAGGTAAGAACAGGGAAACTTTTTCAATTTGTTTCTCACCCTTTATTTCATGCTGCCTTTCCTTCAAGTGAGTTGTTTTTGAGAAATTGTTTTTGGTACTATAAAGATATACGTGACATCAGAATGGTCTTCCAATTGGTTCAACAGAGGTATACATAAACGTGATCAATTTCATCTATGAATGTCATATTGTTGCCCAAATCGATCTTTGAAAGGTGAACGAACTTGATAGTATATAACCTTTGATTTGAAGGCACGTGTGATATAAGTGGAGGACTTATGTGCTGTAGCCTATATCTTTGAAGGACCAAGATGGGTGTTTACTCTTTTTTTCTTTTAATATCAAACATAATTTTGGATTGTGATTCTGTAACTTGTTGGTGCTATTGCTTTAAAATGTTCCCCTGATTACACAAATTTATGCAGCCTTTGCCTTGTTAAGAATTCATGCAATACTATGTACTTTGGATACCAATTTGGCTATTCCATACAGGATGGGAGTAGAACTTTTCTCAAGGTATGTGACAAAAGTATTGAAGCCTGGTCGCAATTTGCCAGAAGAGTCTCTGGTGAATGGGATGGATTTGGAGCAGATTTCAATAATGAAGGGAAGGCAATCGAATTGCCAGAGTCGGTGGTGCCTGAAGCATACCGGGAGTGGGAGATTAAATTATTTGATTGGCAGACTCAGTGCCCCACTCTTGCTGAACCAGAAGATCATGTTCTTGTATACAAGTCCATTCAATTACTTCCAACTGTTGGATGTGAGGCTGATGCTGCCACACGGTACAGTGTGGATGAGAGGAAAGTGGGAGGGGAAAATAGTGGAGTTACTGCCTTTGCTTACCAATCCAGTGGTTCTTATGTTGCTGTCTGGCAAAAGGATAACTTGTTTGAGTTGGAGTACTGCTTGATCCATCCTCAAGATTTTGAATCTCGGGTTAGGATTATTCAGCTTATCCGTGTATTAAATAACACAAAGATGGTACTGCAGAGTATTAGAGTATTTCGTGAGCAGTGGTATGGGCCATTCAGAAATGGTGACCAACTAGGAGGTTGTGCTATTCGTGATTCTGCCTTTGCTTCTACTGCACCCATGATTGCTTCAGATGTCGCTGGTATCTGGCAGGGATCTAAAGCTGTTGCCACTTTTGGCACTCCAAACACTGTGAGTGCAAGAATCTCTCATAACCTTATATATTTTTGTATCTGAATTTTTCTTATTTCATTGCCTTCATTGGCATGCCATTTCTATTTAACTTCAGGAGATCTTTCGAGAGCTTTTAGATGACCAGGTGCAGAACTCTGTCAGAGATGGAGACAACAGCATATTACTTCCTAAGCAACTGTGGTGTTCGCTTAAACAAAGCATGGATGGTGAAACTCTTAGTGAAGTTGGATGGCTTCTAGATCATGGACAAGCAATCACATCAAGGTGCCAATTCTCAAGCACTGCAAAGCCACAGGCAAGTTACAGTATGTAGGGTTATAGTAGTTATAGACATTGATAGAGATGGGTAATCCACAAGGATGCAAATCGCCACTCACATTTAGGAAAGAGAGATACAAAATAAAATATTTAAATTTCAGTTAACTTCAATAACTGTGTGTCTCTGTGTGTTTCTCAACTTCTGGACTCCTGAAATTCAGAGCAGGGGATCCACGTTTGAATGTAGAAGCACCAACATTAAAAAATGCTCGTTTGTATTTTTATATAAATCTAATAAGGAAAAACAATGAAGAGTAAAAGGTTGCTGAGAAAATGGCGGAATAGTATCAGACTCTTCCAATTTTTATACTCAATGTGACTTCTGAAGATGCTTGCTGGATGTGCACCATTATATAAACAGCAGGTGGCACTGTCTAGAACAAAAAAACATGCATATACTTTGGTATAGCAAAGATATGACTAGAACAACAGTATCGACGGAGGGGGAAACAGACTCTTCTTTAGGAGATGAAAACTTCTATTTCATCAACATAAGTAGTGTACAAGCAGATTTTTTTGTTTGGTATTTTTTTTAACGTGTCAGCATGAGATGTTTGCAATATATTTTTTGTTTGTTGACTTATTTCGATTAATTTTTTGGTTTAACATTGCAACTGTGTTTCTTCTAACAAACCCATGGTCTTCATATTTTGGCAGGAAATATCAATAGCCTTAGAAACTAGAGCCTTGGAATAGGAATAGCCACACTGGCAATCCATTCTGATCCAAATTTGTTTAGATTCCTATAAGGCGGTTCTTTACTAGGTGATTTATTCATGTATAAATATGGCAAATTTGTAGCAAAAATGTGTTATTTAAATCATTCATTTTAACCCGTGTATATATAAGGTCGATTTATTTTATCTTTCATGGAATGTTTCTTTGCGGTACAGTAAGTTTAAAGGTTTATTTATATTTCCATAACTTATGTTCCATGCATATGACTTCAGTGCTTTTAAATTTAATTGTTGTTTTTCCAAGAAAGAAAATAAGGAGGAAAGAAAACTTTTAAAGTTTGAAAAGAAGCTACAAGAAAGAAAAAAAATCAAAATTTTATCTCTTCGAGTATTTTTCTTCCATGTCATTCCAGAGGTGGTTTGTGGTTACATAAGAGGTAATATTTTTTTCTTTTCTTTTACTAATTTTCTTCCTTCTGAGTAATGGTGGGGGCGATGGGGTTGGTTCCAAGTTTGGTACATTTGTGTGTTTTTGATTTATACGGTTTATACACTGAATGTAATTTTTCATTAATTTATACAAATAAACGATGCCCACACTTTTATTACATTTTTACTAATTATTGCATAAAATTTTAAATTTTAAAAATTACTTTAAATACTTGAACAGTTATGAATGAAATTATACTAAAATTAAAATAATAAAAAAACTATAAACGTAATTATACCTATGCAATAATAATAATAATAATAATAATAATAACAAAATATTATAGAACCTAATATTTGTTCCTTAATGCCCCACCCCAACTAAAATGTAAACCTTCGAGTCTATGATTTAAAATGTTTAGGTCAAGTATTTTAATTTTAAGAATTTCAACTTTATTTTAGTCTTTGACTTTGTGAAAATTTATTAATTTTAGTTATTTTTATTACCATTCGCACAAAATATTAAAATAAATATTGCTTTGTAAATTTATGAACTAACAAGAGATTTTTAAAATCTTAAAAGATTAAAAATATACAACTCATATGACATCAATAATTATTTTGACAGTTTACTCTAAGCTAAATCCCTAGTATTGCATAGTTAATAATGAGAATTTAAATGGAATAAAATAATAAAGAATGAATACATTTAGATATAAGAAGTTAACATGTAAAATAACCTTATAATTTATTAATATTTTTAACATTTGTCGGCTTTGAGAGTTGAATAGAAATATAGTTGAAAAAATGATGGAACTGGAAATTAAGTCGGCAAAAGAAAGATCATAAGACTTGATATTCACATAGACAAAACAGCTTACTCTGTACGAAATGAAATTGATTGCCAACTCGTTCAAACAAAAGAGAACTGAAAATAGAAATTAAGAAATAATAAAATTCAAAATAAAAATGGGCATCGTACAGTTGCAACAATAAAAACATGTATCATGCTAACATGTGTGGTTGATAGGTCATTCAAAGGAATTTTTGAAGACTTATTTTATTTTTTAGTTGACCGTTGAATAAAAACTCTCCTCAATTGACGCAGCCATGCTTTGTAACTCCGTTCCGTGCCCGGTTTGGTTAATGTTCTCTCAAACGGAGTTCTTCCTCTTGCAAGACTTTCATTTCAACCACATAACTGTGTAACCTGCTTTTGGAAAGTAAAGTGATTATCAAACGCTTCTTTTTTTTTTTTTGTCAAAGATTATTTCACTTTATAAATGTATATTTAGTATTTTAAATTGAATTTTTAGAACAAAAATTAATGTAAATATTCTTTTAAAAAAGTTGATTAATAGATTATCAGCAGGAAAAACAGTAATATCAAATTAAATATTTATCTTTTTATTTCAGCACACTACTCTCAAAATACAAATTACATTAACAATTTTTTTAGTCCAAAAATAATATTTTACTACATTAAATGTATTCAGGTAATTAGTTTTAATTGACACTTATTTAATAATTTTATCTGCTTTTACATAAATTCAATCATAAACTATTTTTATAAGTTCTCTATTTCAAAATTTCTTATTGTGCATAATTTATTTTTAAATTTTATTTTATCGAATTACATTTATTAATAATTAAAAAAAAATAAAACTTATCTTCAGTAAGGATATTAAATAAGGAAAAAGACCAAAAAAAAAAAAAAAAACCCTTGTGAAAAGGCAAGAAGGGTGTTTCGGTGAAATCTGTTGAAATTGAGGGTTTATAAATGGCGTAGGCATTAAGCGCAGTGCGTAGAAATCCGATCGACATAGCCTCAAAACCGTAGCAGCAAACATATGACCATTATCTCCTCCGACATGGTATTCTTCGAACTCTCTTCTTTGTTTCTACGCTAATTTTGTTTTCTTTTTTATATGCATTAGATTGTACCTTTTTTGCTCTTATAGAAATACTTCCTGGCTTAGCTCTGCTTCAATAATTTCTTCCACATAACAAGAAAAGATGTTAATAATCGTAGTCTCATATTCCAATTCAACTTTAGCCACTTCTGTGTGAGTGTGTGTGTGTGAGTGTTATCTGTAAGTTTTTATCAGAAATTATTAATATTTTTGTGATTTGTTACCAAGAAATTTGTTGAAAGAAGTATTGGGAAATTTGTGTTCTGACCATTTCTTGAACGTAATTTATCAAACTGTCCTATAGTTTTCCCCCTTCTTTAACCTTTTCCTATTGACATTGGTGCTGGATTGCTGGCTTGGGTACTACGTTTGTTATTCTATCATGTGATCAAAATATTTATCTTTTCTCTTTAGAACTCGGGAAAGACAGAATATATTGTATCTATAGGAATTTTGAAATGGAAATCCTTTTAGGGATGGGTGTTGTGAGGCAGCTTTGATATGGTGGATCTACACTGATAGTACGTTTGGACTTTGGTTGCGAAAAATTCGATACTAACTGTGGCTGTCATTGTACATATTCCTGGAGAACATTTTGTATGGCTGTCTTATACTATTGGCTCTTAATTTAAGTTTCCTTGTACGTTATTGTTCCATTGGTATGATGATAATTTTAAAGCTAATTATCTATTTCAAAAGATTTTTTGGTTTCTAATTGCTAGTACATTCTTTCTTGTTTATGTTGATCATGGGCTCAAAGTATGCTGCAGTTAAATGTGTGTTTCTACTAGTCAACTACTGCTACTTTTTTGGTTGTTGAGTTGAGAGGTTGTCTTATGTATGTTGATCACGCGCTCAAATTATCTTTTTTTTCATTTTTTTTTGCTAATGACTTTTTTCACAGGATCCACGTGAGGAAGTCCTTCAAGCATGGTACATGGATGACAGTGACGAAGATCAAAGACTTCCCCATCACAAAGAACCCAATGAGTTTGTCTCATTGGACCAACTTGCTGGTAAGCTTCTCGCAGCTTGTGTCAGGTATGTTTATGTGCATATTAAGGGTTTTATACTGAAAACCTGATCTTGGGCCCATGTTAAATTGCAGAACTTGGAGTCCTTAGCTGGAGGTTAGATGCTGATAACCATGAGACAGACCCAGAACTGAAAAAGATTCGTGAAGAACGTGGTTACAGCTACATGGTTTGTTATACAAAGTTTATAACATTATAATAAATAGATGCAGAGAATTATCAACAATATGCAAAATCATCACTGTATTTAATTGTGTCTAACATTGAGCACTATTTAAGTGAAGTTTGACAATTTTTAATTTTTTTATTTGATGTCAAATATTTGTATCTGGACGTTGTGGCTATGTTTTTGAATAATTTAACCTGAGGCACCTTTTCTGCAGGATGTTTGTGAGGTCTGCCCCGAAAAGTTGCCAAATTATGAAGAGAAGATCAAGGGCTTCTTTGAAGAACATCTTCACACTGATGAGGAGATCCGCTATTGTGTTGCTGGAAGTGGTATGAGCAAATTCCCAGCTTTACTTTGATTTTCTTGCCACCTTGCCTCCATGTTAAGTCACTGAATATATCCTATGTTTAGGCTATTTTGATGTCAGGGATCGCAATGATGCTTGGATTCGTGTATGGGTGAAGAAAGGAGGAATGATCATCTTACCTGCTGGAATTTATCATCGCTTTACACTTGATGAGAGCAACTACATTAAGGTATCGATTGCATATTTACAAGTGGTAGCGTACTAGTACTTTTTCTGTGGCTAATAGAAAAGCATTTTATCCTTGTACTTTTGTTCCTCTGTTCCATTGTTTTGGGAACTTGGTTCTCGGAATACTTCTCCTGTTCATTTGGGAACTTGGAAGTCTTGAACTAGGTTATTAGAATACTTATTATGTTATCCTGTCCTCTTTTTGGGAGGCTTTTTGTCAGTATGTTGATGTTCTTTGTCTCTTTTTGAAAGAAGCACGTGATGGCAAAATTTCTGGTTAGGGGAAAATAGTGATGTAGTGGAACATGATGGCTGCTGGCTGCTACAGGGAACTCATAGCTTAGCAGTTTTGCATTGCATAAATAGCTGCCAAGATTGCTGCTGATTAGTGGCCAAATAGCAGAGGATAGCCCTGCTATTTCTTTGTTTGTACATCAAACCTCCAGTTTCTGTCCAAACCTTTTTTAGCCCACACATACTCTGGCTAAACACACCCCAGTTTTTGCCTGAAGTACTCCCTTTCTAGCCAAGTCCATTCATTATCTGGTCAAGTTCACCTCCCACCTGTGTTTTGTATTTCAAAAACCGGAGTAGAGCTAATAGAGCCTTTCTCAACTATGACAATGCGAGATATCTTTGTTTTTGGTGCTGTAGTGTGTTTTTCACACTTCATACATCATTAAGGTGATGCAGGACAATAGATTTCCAACTAGTTGGTCTGGTACGTGCCCCAATTATAGCAAACGAAGATGTTCCCAGGATTTGATCTCATGTCCTCTGGGTCATAATGCAACAACCATATTGTTGTACCTGTGCTGTGTATATTTAACTAATTGTTCTGTCACAACTATAAATTCCATCATGATGTTTTTCTCTTAACTTCATTTTGTTCTCATTTCTCTCATTGTTAATTATAAGCTCAAGTTAGTGGTAAATTGTGTCTCAGACTATGACATTTTTGTTATGAATGATGAATACATCTTTGTTTTGTTTATTTTTAATCAATTACATGCTGTTGGTATAAAATACAAATTATTTATCTTGTGTATATAATCTTTACTATAGCCGCTGACCCACCACGCACCCTTGCATGCTTATTTTTGTTATTTTTCAGTAATTAATGTGCATTTTCAACCTTTTTTTTTCTTTATTTTAACTTTTGAGATTAGTCTACCTTATGAATGCTTCTTAAATGATTATTATGTGCAGGCTTTGCGATTTTTTGTTGGTGAACCAGTGTGGACTCCATTCAATCGCCCTCATGATCATCTACCTGCAAGGTATGAGTTAATAAATTCAGTAGTCTGTCGGACAATTGGTTTTTTTGTCAATCCTTATAATATGATTTAAATGCGCAGACAAGAATATGTCAAGACTTTTGTGGGAAAGGATGTCGCCAACCATGCCGTTGATGCTGCTGCTGCTTAGGATTTGGTTCTGCCCTAGCGTAGTGAGTGAAAAGGACTAGGAATTTGCTACTAAAGTAACGTTTGAAAAATGAAAATAATGGTCTATTTTAATAAAGGGTCCCGTCTATGTATGCTACGGTTTGAGGGTAAGGTGACCCTTGTAACTTTGATGTTGTACTCTTTTCAGTGCTTTTGTTGCCCATTACTGTATAAAGATTGCAAGGTATTATTACCAGAAATGGTGACAGGATAAACATAATATTATACTAATGTATTTATCTTTGGCTGCATTGAATTTTAAATGATGAAATTAAAAAATATTTAGAATACTTTTTTAAAAACTTCATGAGGGAAATTCCTAAACTATAGGCGGCGGTAACAATAGGTATGAGTTGGGATTATAAAGGAGTAAATTTCAAGTTATTTCAAGTTTTTTGTTTGTCTCTGGGATTATAAAGGTAACCTAGGTTTGTGTCTGGCTTTAGTTTCTTTAGGCTACATATATATAAAAGAGAAGTTGGCTTAAACACATTTTTAAAAATGAATTAACGAAAAAACAATGTAAATGAAGCAATAAAGAGAAGTTAATTAGATGAGCTTGTATATTTATTTTTTGTTATAACATACTGGCTTCTTTCCCCTTTTCAATTTCTTTACCAAACGCACGGTCCTTCAAATTTAAAATAATAAATTTTTTATCTTACTCACCTGCTTTTGAAGTTTAATCCATTTGTTTAAACATGTATATATAGTTTAGACAAGGTTTAATCCTCTGTTGAAAAGATTAATTATCTACTACAGTTTGTTGGAGCTTTAGAAATTCTACGGAGTGTGTTTAGTTTTGTATTAAAAATGAATAAATATGAATTCAAATTCTAAAAGTTATTTTGGACGAGTGTTTAAGATTTAAAGCACTGAGATTCCGTGAATCAAACTAGGTCTTATTTTCATGACAGAAAATTACAAGTAATCATGTTTTACCTAATATTAGGCCCAATAATTTGATTAAAAAGTTGAACTAATCGACGGAAGTGCTCGAAAGTAAAACAAAAACAAAAAGCAAGAAATGGGACCCTCGTCACTATCCTTTCATTTTTGAATTTTGGTGGTGTCGGGTATATTCGATGCGGTTCTACACTCATCTCTAACAACACTAAAATATTAGCCATATGCTTACACGTGTCTTCTATCTGTGATGCCAAAAACTCTGGCCAGGTATCCCGTGCACGACCTTTCTCTTGTGTTAATCAATGTAATCTATAACGGTATAACCTACATTTCTGGTCAAATTTTGAATATTTGTCACATATTTCATGCTTAAAACCCCTAAACATTTTCCAACTTCGATAATTAAATTGTTTATCATTCAATCGTTAAATTATTATGAAAACATTAAGTACTTTTTACATGTATCACACATTTGATAATCTCACTTTTATGTTTTCCTGTGTTGGTAACATTGATCATTATTAGAGTTGTTAATTTACTACTCAATCTGTCTTATGAACAATAGTTTTTATATGAGTTGGCTTGCATAATTTAAATTTGTTTTAAAAATATGTTGTTATTATTATTATTACTGCTAATAATATATAATCATGTAGCATGAAAATATGATGCTATTTTGCTTATATAGACAGAAGCTTATTCTTGTGCATGAGGATAAAAAGAAAATTAAAACCCCTTTCCTATATTATCGTTTATTTTCTTTGATGGATCTCATGCCACATTACATCCAACATCTAGTTGAATTGAATATTTTTCTTTGCACCTTTTTGGACCGGAGAACTCTGTTTATTAATTAATTAAAATCATGACGGTTGCTTTGAATCGGTGCCTACCATACTTGGTTTAAAAGATAATAAAATAAGGTGAAAGATGCTTACATTGAAAGAAAGAATAAGAAACATGACAGTTGGGTTTATAATATTGTTTAAAAGGGAATAGTTATCCCAATGCGTAGCTCATGAAAAATATTCTATCGTTAAGTTCATTTAAACCCTATTAGCTACTAGTTTCACCACTTATTCTGCATGCAACTTAACTTAATTCCTCAATCAAACAATTTACGCATCCAATGTTGATCACAATGGAGTCCTTTGGAAGAAATGTACACTACAAGAAAGTAACAGTTGTTGTTTGAGAAAGAGGAGAACAAATCTTAATAAGGAGTATTTTATTAAAGGTTTCTTAAAATAAAATTTACCAGACATTAAATCAGTTTTTAATTCGATAATAAGTACAAAAATATAAATATTTTAATGAATTTGCTCTCACTCTTTTAACGAAAAGAGCATATAAAAAAATCCCAAAAGATAGAAGAGGAGCAACTCGGGGACAGTGGCATGATGGTTGAATGAAAAAAAATACTAATATAACAATGGATGTAAAGCTTCTTTAATGAACTAATAGAATAAAATAATGTTGAGTGGCTAGATATTTATTTTTATGGAATAAAATAATGTTGTATGGCTAGATATTTATTTTGACACCCTTGAATTGCTGATCTTCACCTCCCCATAACCCTGCCCTCATTCCTGGTTCGCTCAAAATCTCCGTGACTCTATGCAAACCAATGGCTGCTCATTTTTAGTAAAAGGGATATTTTTTGGCATTTTATGTATAAACAATTTTCATTGTATTATTTAAAGGAGCTTATATTAGATCTAGGTGCCCAAGTTTTTAGCAAAGCTCTACTAGCTTTTATGAAAATGTGAATATTTCGTTCACATAAATTATATATATGTCAATATTATTACATGACAAATGAAAAAAACAAAGTAATAAAATACAAAGGATAAGATATAAGAAGACCGATAATATTTTTTGGAATAATTACGGAGAATAAATTCCAGTGGAATTCTTTAACTTTTAAGTGTATTTTAATATTGTATATATACATAACAAATTAATAAAACATATAAAAATATAAACAATATTACATGCATTGTCAATTTTTAATTATTTAAATAACGAAATTGTTTAACATAGAGAGCGAATCCCTTTTCAAAAGCATTCCTATGAAGAAATTAATAAATATTCATAGAAGAAGAAATAAAGTGATAAAACAAATTATACTTTTAAAATAATTAAAACCAAGTTATATCATTTAATTTTTAAAAAATATAAATAAAGAATGAACTGTATAAATTATTTTGAATTTTTATAAATATTTATTAATAAAGTTATCTATTCCTTTGTCCCATAATGCAAAAAAAAAAAATTAATATAAAAAAATCGAATGTATACGTGGGCAAGAGTAAATTATGTAAACACATCACATTGATTTGTGCCAGTTCTGAAACGTTCATTGGTTGCTTTCATACGAAACGTCGCTGCTTTTCTTTAGGGGTGAATTAGGGCTAAGAGCATATGCCTCTTTACCAATGATCGGGTGACACGTGTTTTGCGGTCAGTTTCATTGGCGAGCATGGACCAAAGAAGAAATCAAGAAATATATATACAATATTGAATCGATATTAAAAAAACAAAATTTAGGTGAATTATAGTAAATATTTTTAGTGTTGTTTTTATATTTTATTCTTCATAAAAATGTGAAAAGTTATATATATATTCCTTATCCCTACTCTTTTTTAAAATTCTTCTTTTAAAGTGTAAAAAAATAGTAACAATATTAAGATAAAGAGATAAATAAAAAAGATAGGGAGTGATTCGGTCCAGAAGAGAGAAACTAAAAGTAAAAATGATTTTTTCATCCAAACACCTTCTTATATATGGCATTGGCACAGCTCGCGACAGCTATATATTACTCCTACTGACAATCATACAGAAAAGGAAATTCAAAGGAAAGGACAAACGCAGTTTGATGAAAGATGATAAAAAATGGACATAACTAAAAGCAAAGTAAATTTAAATATATTTTTAATCTTCTTTTTTTATTCTATATTTAATATATTTGAATAAATATATCTATATTTTAATTCTTTAATAAATATTAGGCACACTGACACTGATTAGTAATAGTAATGTGCTTGTTTTAATATACAAATATCTTAAATTGCTGAGTGCTAACAAAATGAATGGAAGGTGCAACGGCTTTCCCAAAGGAGAAAAGAAGACAGGAGGGAGAAAAATATCTGATTGGCATGTTGGATTTTTCTTGCACTTTACCTTCTCCATTAGTCATAATAATAATTATTATAATAATATGAGCCTAAAAAGGAAAAGCGAAAAGGAAAAGAACAAAGGCAGCATCAATAGCTATTTATAAATAAATTGGACAAAGCTAACGCTGCAACTGCTTCTGCTTCCTCCACGTCGCTCCAATCCAAAAGCTTCCTTCTCCATTATACCATAACATCATATATCAACCCTCTAGTCTACATTCACTGTCCTCTCTCTCTCTCTCTCTCTCTCTCTCCCTCCTTCTTCTATATATGATCTAATTCTATACAAAAATACCACATCTAATCTTCATTTTACCCATTTGATCTTTTCACTTTCACCTGTCACTTCCCAAATTCCTTTTATGAATGCTTGAACCACACTGCACTCACTAGCTTTGGCTGAACTTGAGAGTGCCCTCACAAGGTCAAAGTCAAAGAATCAAGAAGGTAACATACGAATCAATTATAGATATTTCCAGTATGAATCCTAATGGTAGAGTGAAGGAAGAGTTTCTTGGAGAAACTTCAAGCTTTTGTTGTAGTGGTTATGAACAGCAAGCAGTGGTTGTTCCTCAACCAATTGATGGGCTTCATGAAACTGGTCCTCCACCATTCCTCACAAAAACATATGACATCGTTGATGACCCTTCAACGAATCATATAATTTCGTGGAGCTCAGGGAACAATAGTTTTGTTGTGTGGGATCCTCAGGCCTTCTCCATAACCCTACTTCCCAGATTCTTCAAGCACAACAATTTCTCCAGTTTTGTCCGGCAACTCAACACTTATGTCAGTAAATTAATTATTTCTTTTTTCTACTTACCAATTATATATCATGTTAGTATTTATTTTTTATTTCTCCTACCGAGTTTTTCTTACCGTGACAAACTGAAGTGCTGTTTTCATAGTCGATTTTGCATTCAGATGTAATGATAACTTTTATTATCTTCACTGAGGTTCATGAATCTTCTGGAATGTGTTACTACTGTTACCCTTCTTCTATCTTCATTTATCATATAGGTAGAAAAATTACAGTATAAAATGATGCAATTAGAAAGGTGTTGATTTAATTCTCAGCTATATCATTAGCAGTGATGTTATATCTTTATATAGGTTGTTTTAAATAATAGTTTATCATATGTGCCTTTCTCAAACCATTAATTACCAGAGTGGTATTTTATGGATTGATTTGAAATGAAGAAGGAACTTGACATGACTGTAGGGGTTTAAAAAGGTGGATCCAGATAAGTGGGAGTTTGCTAATGAGATGTTTCTTAGAGGACAAAGAATTCTATTGAAGAACATTAGAAGGAGAAAAGCAAATCAATCTCAGGCAATGATGCAGCAAGGTATAGAGGCTTGTGTTGAGGTGGGGCAGTTTGGATTAGATGGAGAAGTTGATCAGTTGAGGCGTGACAGGCAAGTTCTCATGGTGGAGTTGGTGAAACTTAGACAACAGCAACAGAATACCAGAGCTCACCTTAAAGAAATGGAAGGCAGGCTCAAAAGGACCGAGCAGAAACAACAACAGATGATGAATTTCTTGGCAAGAGCAATGCAGAATCCCAACTTTGTACAACAGTTGGTTCAGCAAAAGGAGTGGAGAAAGGAACTTGAGGAAGCCTTTTCCAAGAAGAGGAGGAGACCTATTGATCAAGGGCCTAGTAATGTTGTTGAAGTAGATGCATTAGGTTGTGCTGAAGAATGCTCAACTTTTGTTAAACTTGAACACCAGGAAAACAATGATGACAAGTTATTGGAGTTTGAGGTGTCTGAGATGGACCTTGCTTTGAATATGGAGGGACCAAGTGGAAGCCAGAAGAACATGGAGGAAGATTTAGATCACATTCAAACTGAAATTAGAGATGGTAGAGATATTGATGATGTGTTTTGGCAAGATTTGCTTAATGAGGGTATTGTAGATCAAGATGCACTAGGTGTTGAAGATGTAGATGTATTGGCTGAGCAACTTGGTTATTTGGCCTCTACTCCTAAATAGGAGGCTGTCCAAAGCTGCATTTCCTAATTCTTCACGCTTTTTTCATTGAATTGGCTGTGTGCTGGATCACTGCTATACTTTCTGACCATTTTGGGGTTGCTGATTGATACATACTCAAGATGCTAATTAAACCCAACCTTTTGTGTAAGAGTTTCTTGGCCCAAGTTTAAAGCACATGGTTATCAAGAAATGGACACCTTTTGATGCCATATGATCAGTTAGGGTGCTACAAGTCTGGTGGTTATTCTCATGGCTTCTAGATTATTCCATTTCAAAGTTAACTTTATATCCTAATTTCAAGTTAATATCTCATGATCTCCGTGAAAATTCTTGCTTCAATGAGCTGGGTAAGGAACTCCTGCACCTGCTAGCTATGTGAAATGACATGCCATTTGTTTAATCAATTTCAGTGCTCGAGAACAAAATGCCAAACCATCTTTTAGAAGAGGGTTCATTAATTTTTTGGTATGCACAACTGGATGGGATATGGCTACTAAGAGATGCGTGTTTCCTGAAACTTCTAGTTCTTGCATGCTAAATAATTTTATTTATTTTCTTCTTGAATGATTACAGCAGGCTGTGGAGAACGAAATAAAAATTCCAGTAACAATTAAATTTTGCATGTTCATGTTAGTTTATGCTACAATATTATTGTTAAGATTATATTTTTTTAGTCTAATATTAAAACTTTCTCTTTTAATATATTCGCGATATGTACATATACGCATATATATGAAGCAGTTGATGCTAAGTCATAAGGGAAACCTGACTCATGCGCAGACGTTGAAGATGGGATCGGCTAACTGCACCATGGGCGAGGGACACATCCGGGATGATGCCACTATTGCTTGCTCTCTCAGAATTTTAATGGTAATAATTAACAGTGACATATGCTTCTGAAATTTTTTTGGGGGTGAAATTAATACATATGCAAATTTTATTTGCATTTTATATTCATGATAGGGGGTGCACTAATGTATTTGTCCTCCAGATATGATTTTGAGTTTGAAAAATAATTTTAACAATCCATCTATGTGATTGAAGGTGTAACAAGAAAATAGAGAAAAATGAAAGTGAAAAATAAAATAAAATCCAATCAATGTACATTCCGACACATCTTTACAAGTTGCTAGAATATTAAAAGAGTGGCTTTTACCGATTATAGACAATTGTTCTCGTAATGGTGTGAATTGGATTTTACGTTTTTCCACACCAAAATTTTGTTCTTTTACCTGATAGCTAGCCCTAGCATTCCCTCTTCCTCTATATCTCTTTTACTTTGGAGTTTCCAGAGTACTTTAGGGCAAAAGGTCTGGCAAACAGTATGAAAGTTGTTCATCGAGTATCAATGAACTACGGTATTCTTCGCCATAATTCTGCACAACAAAATATTGATATGTTCCACTATATAAGACTACACAAAGGGGTTATTAACTTCAAGGGAAAATTTTGTGTATCTTATACAAGGATATATGATGTTTCGTACACAAACAAATCCCGAATTGATAACCTTTTATTTGTTGAAGGTAGCATAAAGTGAATTCTCTTGAAATTAAATTAAAGTAACTTAGACCTTAAATATATATATGTTGTTATTGAAACATTAATCATTAGTCAAAACTCAAAAAGCAGGTTTTGAATAAATTAGTTAGTATATAGTAAATGTAGCTCAAGTGGTTGGTCTTGTGGGTGATGATTGTCATGTGTCAGTCATATGGGGGTACCAACAGGGAGCATAACAAGTTATAGCAAGACATGGGAGGGGAAATTCTTTGAAGAAGGGTTTGGCAATGCTTTATTTCCTTTAATGGAAAAAAGGCAAAGAAAAAGCTGAAATGTTAGCTCCCTTAAGTATGCAGAAATTTTGATGATGTGGTGTTATGTAAATTGAGTTGGGTCACACAGGTTACTTCAATTGTCTGCTTAAGTGATAAGGTTGCACATGCCATGCATGAATTTTCACATGCCAGAAAATTCTATTTCTTCCTTTTTCTCTTTCCATTTTATATGTAAATTTTCCTTTTGTCTTAAAGAATATATTAATTAAAGGCAATATGAATTTTATCTCGTCAAGAGAATTGAGGGTTTTTTTTTTTTAATTTGTCCAATATTTAGAACAAGACCTAATTAAAACATCAAATAAAGATCATTAACGAACGACAAAAAGATATGAAAATGCAGTGAACGGAATGAATACTATTTTGAATAGCAAGTTTGTTGTTAATTTATGTAATAAATGGGATTTTATGTTTGATGAACCCTTGAGATTTTCTTAAAAACCAGGCAAGTGATGCAGATACTACTGTAAATCTATATGCGCTTGCTTTTTTTTGTTAAGTCTCTTTCGTTTCTACTAGCTTCAAAGTGGTGTTTTTCAATCACGCTTCTATACTAAAATGCTAACAAGTTAATGAGGTGTGAATTTGAGCGCAATTACAAAGTCTTTTTATTGATTGGCAAAATAATACTTACCAAAATTTTCGATCTACTTTATACAAATGCATATATAGTTAGTTAATATGAGTTTGGGGGAATAGAAAAAAAATTAAAAAATACTTTAGTCACATAAATATGTAATTTAATCTAAACACGAAATTATCGAATAACAGTGTTATCGGGACATGAATCAGCTAGAAAATAATTATTATTAAAAGTTAAAACACCATTTAGGTACGATTTTATTAATTTGAATTGAATTTCAGAAAATAATAATAATCTGCTTTAAAAATATTTATTATATTTTAAATATAATAATTATTTTTCATAAAAAATATTATTTAATATATTTAAACTCAGACTTAAATGCTGAATTTAACAAAAGAAATTTTCGTAATAGTGCCCCGAAAATAACTATTAATATCTCCAAGCGATACTTACAATGATAAACCAAAAATGTCTCACATCGAAAGAACGATTTTGGTAATAAAAACGATTATTTCACATTCCAACAGGTATATATACTCTTAATAAAAAGAGAAATAAGCAAAATTATTAAATAGAATTAATATTTTGAAAAGAATAAAAAACTATTCAATTTGAAAATATTTTTAAAACGTATATAAAAAGAAGTAAACAAATATTATTTCTTAAATAAAATTTTAAAAAAGTTATATTTTTAAAATTAAAATTTAAAAATAATTTTCAAATCAACTGACCTATAGTGAGTATAAAAACTAAAGTGAGAGAAAAATTAGGTTATTTGGGTAGAAGCGTGGGTGACCTGCATACTGAGAAAGCAAAGGTAGGTTATGGTGCATTTATTTGGAGGTGTATTTTTATATTTGGGGAAATTAAAGTTGAATTTGGATTGTTGTTGAAACATTTGAGCAGTTTGTAGCTAAGAACACCACAGCAAGCAAAATTGAATTACAACGAGCCAAGTGTCTTCACTGTTCTAAGCCAGCCAGTGACCAACACAAGAACCTTTCATGAACATACATCATTTCAGGAATTGGAGCAAAGCAAGTTAGAGAGCAAACATATATTTATAGACAACCTCCACCGCCAATGACCCCTGCTTTGCAATTCCACCATTTTTTACTATTCCTTTTGCTTTTAATTTGTCGTTTCTGCTTGTTCTAGACTTTTTTTTTCCTAGAGATATCTAGTCGTTACTCTAGATTCTAGACTAATCTATATTAATATTATTAATTATTTTTTCACTGACATTTTCTGACCGCCACGTGGCAAATGCAGGCATCACTAATTAGACTAAGGATCTTTATATGAACAGAGACCCAAGATATATCTGCAAAAGTATAAACAATTAACCATTTTTTCATATTCCGGGCACTGGTCCTTCATCCACTGTTTTGGAGAAACTGCGTTTTGTGTGGGTTCCATAACCTTATGTTTTAGTCATATTTAGTGGGATACACCAAAACCCAATCTTTGCTATATCTCATTGACGGATCTTTCAAGGTAATGAATTCATTGGAAGGGCCCAATATGCTGCTACTGATGCCTTAAAGCAAAGGGCAAACATTGATTCTTTTAGAATGAATCCTTTACTTTTTTGTTGACTCTTTTAGTTTCTTTAATCGAGTTTTTGGATTTTTTGTTTTTTTTTTTCAGAAAAAAATATGTCAACCAATAAATCATCAGTGGAGTAAAGGCTAAACTTTTTCATTAAGTGTTGAAATGGAAGTCATAGAAAGAAAATTGCTATAATTAAAAATAATTAAGTTAGAAAACTGAATAAAGAAAATAAAACTTTAAAAGTCGGAAAAGAAATATTTAAACTCATATTTTTCATCCGTCCAAACATTACATTGAATATCAATACTAAAATGCTCGTTTCCTCCAACAGTGTAGAAGAACTCTTCAGGACTTCCCCAACTTTAACATTGGTACGTTCATCTTGCCATTGAAAGGGATTACACAACAGGCACCCCATCCTCAATTACACACACCCTAAACCTTCTTCTTATGTTTTTATATTTATAGATGTGATCCAACAATGTTTTTTCACCAAAGTTAATGAACAACAATTCAGCCCTTCAAAGTTCCTATTTTCCAAAACCTCATGTTATTATTTTCAATCTCCTTCCTTTTTTTTCTTTAATAGAAAAAGATAAAACACCGGTATAAATCTAAAATTTTTTATACCAAATCTACATTTTTCATGATCTATATATAAGCCCAGCACTAAACGAAGTCATCTGTGATGAAATCCTTTTTAATTCAGTGTTCGTGGCCCGTTAAGCGATAAAATAAACAAAACTTCTAGTACAGCCCAAATGTGCAAAAGTTCATCAAGCTATGTATCTCCGTGTTTCTCAAGGCAGCAAAAGGTCAAGCCTAAAATAAAAAATCCAATGCATTGCATGGAATAAGAGATAATGATGTATGTGGAAGATAAAAATAAACTCATTATTTATTTATTCATCAATGCTTCTTCACTCATCTCACTCGATACAACCGATCCATTCATTGGTATATTGCCAAAATTATTCGAGTCACATCCATTTATTATGGTTTAAAGGCATATGTCAGTTAATGGAACTTTTTAAACGTGTATTCGAAGGAATATACATTAAAAAAATAATTTTTTTGTTATTAAATATTATGATTATATTAATTTGTATGATATACTATAACTTTTAATATACATGATTTTTTATCGTAAAATTTTTTAGTCGGTGTTAAAAAATATTAATTGGTCTGATTAACTAAAGCGGTTTAACAAAGTGCATTCTACAAATTTTGTAGTGATCGATAAGAACCAACAAGTTAATGAATGAGATGATGAAATTCATGCCTTGTTTAGTAATCGTGGGCCTAACTTTGACAACCCTATAACACTTAATTTATTCTTACCCATTTCATGAATTTTAGGGAGAAAGAATCTATATTTCTTCAGTCATAAAATAATAAAAATTTTACATTTTCTGTTACCCACCTATGTGTCATCTTAATTCATAATCACATATTAATTAATAACGTGATCATAAGAAGCATGAAACCGTGGAGACAATTTGATTTATTAATATAAAAAAAAAAACTTAACATAAGTGAATTTTCTTTCTAGTTGAATTAACTACAATACTTGTTGAGTTGAGATTAAGCGTATGTTTGCATTACTTGAAGAATCGTTTCTATTGAAATAAAGCAAAAAATATCACCGTATAATGTACATTGAGTTAAAATAATTTTTGTTTCAAATATTTTTCTTTCAATATCTTACAAAGTTGAAACATTTTTCATTTACTGGTTAATCCAGTAAAATTAAAATACATATATTTTTGTGAGTCCTAAATGTTTGTGAAACAGGATAAAATGCATGTTTTCTATTCAACCATTCAATAAAATGGAAAAAAAGTGTTTTTCTTACTCTCTATTATTAATTAGGATATTATAATTATTATGGCGGTGCCGGAAAAAAATGGAAATGTAAAAGTACAGTATATAAATTGTACGTGGCCAATTATTAATAAAGAGTAGAATAATCAGCAAATGGGAACAAACCTTACCCACGAAAGAACCCAATGACTTGTCACTCTCTAATAACCTTAAGTTACGTGATACAATAACTACATTTTTTTTGTAAGTTGGACTGAGGAAAATGGTTTGTTTTTGTACAATTTCCCTTCATTTTTTCTTGTCAAAATTAATTTTAATAAAGATGTTAAAGACTATTAAATGTTTTTTATAAGTTATCTTTTATTTTTAATTATTTAAAAAACTCTACTAACTAAAGTCAACAAAGTATTTTTTTTTTATAAATAATATTCATCCGGGATAGACACCCTCTTACACTGTTGAAGAGTTAGAAAATCATTATTTTCAAATTATGTTCAGAATTTCAATATTCATTTGTAAAAGTTTTTACTGCTAAATGTTTGTTTATAATTTATATTTAAACGATGTATGAAAATTGCTATTATTTCTGAACCCCATACGTCATAAAAAATTAACGTGTTTGGGGGTACACTGTAGGCAGAGTGAAGCGTTAGGCTAAACGCACGTTGCGTCGTGAAAATCATCTGCAAAATGTCTGCTTTTCCAATGTATTTAGTTAATTGTACATTAGCGAGGTGACAGATCTCTCACATTTTCATATCAAATCAAATCAAATCAAATACAAGTCAAGAAGGCCATACTAATTATTTAAAAAAATGGAATAAAAGTTATGAATATGATACATTACCAATATTTTTATAGTTTTATTGACGAAATTTATACAAAATAAATAAATTAGAAATTTTCGATTTTGTCGATTTCGAACTGTGTCTTGTTTGGTTTCCAGCCAAATATAAGCTCAATTTTGTGGAAAAAATATGGTAAGACGCGTTTTTGTCCAAACAAGTCCTTATAATTAATTCATTGCTCTGCAAAACCTTCGTTTCTAAGCTCCTTCTCGTTGTTGTTGTTGTTTTCCTTCACACTCTCTGTTCCCTTCTTGCGCTTCACGAACCAACCAGATTTTGAAATCCCACACCCGTTTTTGCATTCGGATCAAACCCTTTTGATCTCTCGGCAAGTTTTCGCGCAATGTGGTTGCCCTGAATCTCACACCAAATCAGAGTCCACAAGATTTGTCACAGTATCGACGACCCAAAACGCCACATCGCCAAAATACCGTTTTTTTCTAATGGGGACGGTGCCGTCAACGCCGCGCAGGGGTGGCGCATTCTCGCCGGAGACGGCGGAGTATCTAATCGGCACTTTCGTCGGCGACCAGTCCTTCCCGCTTTCATCGGAGTTCTGGCAGAAATTGCTTGAGCTTCCTCTTAATGTTCAATGGCCCACTCAACGTGTTCAAGAAGCTTGCGAGCTGTTGGGTTAGTCCTATTCTGATTACTTTCCCTGATCACAATTTTTTTAGGCTTAGAATGATAATGGTTTTAAGGGGAGGCTTTAATCCCTCGATTTGAAGCAAACAACATTAGTTAGGAGCTTATTATATTTAATTTATGTGCTAGAATGCTAGAGTAAGATTTTCCTATGTCAAGATGATGATGATGTTAATGTAAAGGAGTCCAGAATGTTATGTTGCTATTTATATCTTATGTTATCTCAAATAATTGGGTTTCTAATAGAACTGATATGTTATAGTTTCACTCTCCTTGAATTTATAGGTTATAATATGTTAATTGAGGTATTAACGGTTAGGGAGAGTATTTTGTATCTCATGGATGTATCATATATCTTTTTTGATATATTTTTTCGCTGGATTGTCTTGCAGCCAAAAACAGTTGTCACACCAGGCATCTTGCCAAGATTTTGTTCCATTTAGCGTGCTACTTGCAAGAGTCCATGTCTACTTCTGGTGCGTCACCCTTGGTTTATGAAAAGGCTGTTAATGCAGGGTACATCAGTTCAGTATTTTTGAAGCACTTGATTGAAAGTGTCCAAGGCGATAATATTCAGTTGTATCTGTCTCTTGATGATAATGAGGCTGCACAGAAGGATGTTCTGGGAGGTATGTACAACTCTCGTTGTTTCAGATTTATTGAGAACTATAATCTGCAAACATACAAATATTAGAATTCTTTTGAACTTTGTTGCATATGTGGTTTTGGGTGATGTAGTAGGATAAGACTTGTGTAAAGGCCAACTTAATTTTGACACCTACTTGCATGAGATTGGATTAAATGTCAATTTATTATGTTTTGCATTACATAAGCATGGTTTTTGACATTTTTTTGAATTGGAACTTCCTTACTTTTTCTTTGGTTTCACATGCATTATGTCAGTTCTCCCTTTCAATTTTTTAATTTTTTTTTTTTGGTTTTTTTATGCATGTATTTCCAGTATTATTCATTTTATTTTCAACATTTGTACAGACCAAACAATTGTAAATCTTGTTATGCGGAATGTGCTGGACTTCATAGCATCAGTAGAAGTGAGGTATATCACTGCTCCTGAGTAATTTGACCTGCTAATTATTGTTGAGTTATTGTGTGAACTTTTTGACCTAACATTTTTGTTATTATAGTTCGGAAACATTCCTCCTACATCTAGAGGTGCTTAATTTCATGATTATTGCAATGTCAACTCAGCTTCTCTGTGGGCCATCTCCTGGACCGAATGATGTGAACCCATTTATTGATGCAGCAATGGCTCAGGTTAGAAGTTGAGATTTTAACGTGAAACCTTGGTTATTGAGTTATTGTGCATATGCTGATAATAAACATCAGGTTAGTGTATTGTTATTTTTTTCAGGACAGTTCTCTGGTTGGTTCAGTTGTTCGCAGATTGCTTCTAAATTTCATTGCCCATGCTAATGTTCCATTAAATAGGGCAACTTATTCCATCTTTTATGATGGAAGTCAGAGTAGTGTGCTACAGAGAGTTGGTTCTGCGGCTGGTATAATGACTGTATATATATTCTATTTAATATTTTTGGATTCTTTGGAGTCAAATATGCATTTTGGACGGTATTATAATAATTGTCTTACTGCAAGATTGCTTCTTTTTGTTTTGCAGCAAATATTGTTTTATTTCCATTCAGTTATCTGGTCAGTTCAAGTGGTGAAGGATCAAGAAGTCCTATTGCAGATATCAGTATTCATGTGCTTCTTGTTCTCATTCATTATCGTAAATGTGTTGTGAGTGAGGATTACTCTGCTGTTGAAAATAACAAATCTTCCACTTCTGATTCTTTGCTCAAAGAAAATCCTCATTTTTCTGACAACCCTTACTGCAAGGCCTTGGAGCATGCAATTGATTGTGAATGTAATATATTTTTCATATATGTGTATTATTTCAATTGATTAAGAAGGCTAGAAATTTTTGATCAGTCCTTTAAATGCAGTGGATCGTGTAGATATTGAGGGCAATGCTCACAGTGCTCGACACATAAAGTTGCCTTTTGCTTCGTTGTTTGATACACTTGGCATGTGAGTATCTTTCTTTAGTGTTTGACAATTAGCATGCTACAATTATTTCATGCTTACCACGGTTTTAATTGAGTGCATCCATGTTTGTAATTGCTTGTTATGATGATGATAAGTTGAAAATTTCTATTTGTGAAATGTGACATGATCAGAATGTGTATTAGTTGTTAGTTAGTCTTATTATGACATATAGAAAACTTGTTTCTTATACTTTTCTGTTCACCAATTGATAGTTATATCAAAGAAAAGGAGGGAAAAGGTAAAAGAAGTAAGAAATCAGATTCCCCCCCCACTCTCTTTTCTTACCCCTTCATGGTTGGTTGGTCTTCAGTTAGTCAGTTACACATTTCCTCATGTTACATCGCTCATGTATATAATTGTTATTTGCAACTTTTTATCCCTGTTACTGTTACCTCAATTTCATTGTTTGAGGCTCTACTAGCCCATGACTTTTAATTTTATAGTGTCCCTCACTCTCCCTACTTCTAGATATAGCAAGAATTCTTGGTCTTCTTTTCACTTGGGACATTTGATTAAACTTACATGTTATATGTGTATGCAGTGTCATACACTCATACCATATGCAATTCATTATTTTGAATTTTACATCTTTGTTAGCTTTTTAATTCTTACAACTTATATTCCTCCGCAGACGCTTAGCTGATGAGGCAGCTGTCCTACTGCTATACTCACTGTTGCAAGGGAATTCTGCCTTTCTGGAGTATGTATTGGTGCGGACAGATCTGGATACATTGGTATGGGCCAACAAAATTAAGTTCCTCCTATGAAGAAAGTGGGAATGAATTATTTAATAAGTAAAAAAGTCAAGAAGAATCATAGATGAAGTTCTGTTATGGATTATTACTTTGTAAAGCATGCATTTACTTGATTATCCTGTGATGCATGTATCTACCTGTTTTAAATTGTTCTAAATCTTATGAGCCCTAATGATACATATAGAATGACTGAAGGTCAAGCCTTATTCTGATCCCTGTTTATCTTATGAAATTAACAGTTAGTGCCAATTCTGGAAGCTCTATACAATGCTCCAAGGAGGACAGCTAATCAAATTTACATGCTGCTAATTATACTTCTCATACTTAGTCAAGATTCTTCTTTTAATGCAAGCATTCATAAGCTGGTAAGACTTGTCTTTTGGCATTAGACTTTGTTGTAAAATGCAAGGATTGTGCTAAATGCTAATTGGTATACAAATGGACAGATATTGACTGGTGTTCCATGGTACAAAGAACGTCTTCTCCATCAGACTTCTCTTGGTTCGCTCATGGTCATAATTCTTATAAGAACTGTACAGTATAATTTGTCTAAGCTGCGGGTATAAATCTTAAACTTTATTGGACTATTAGTTTAATCTCATGTATCTAAGATAAGCTTTTCTGCTAACTGATTATTTAATCAGATGTTAAATGCATTGTATAAAATTACCTATTTCATTTGTATATAAAAGCAATATTTTTTAAGGATGGACAGAAAGTTTACACTTGTACAAGTCTGGAAGTAAGACTGAGAAAGCATTGAGATCTGTTAGCCTATGTCTATTGAAGACCATGATTACATATAAAGTATGCCAATGGATCCCAGTAGAATTGACTTATTTCACTCTTAGAGATGTTTCTGATCATTGTTTATTTACTTAAGCAGTTTATACGCATTGAACTACTACTCTGCTTTTATTTTGTTAATATATCTCCTTTGATCATTCTGTTTTGTATTGAATTATGATAGGATGTCTATCTCCAAACAACATGTCTAGCAACTTTAGCAAACATGGCACCTCATGTCCATCGATTGAGTGCATATGCATCTCAGAGACTAGTCAGCCTTTTTGATATGCTTTCACGCAAGTATGGCGCTCTTTTCTTTGCCTTCATAATGTCCTATTTCCATTTCTTTATGTTTTAGAATATTGTAGTTTCTATAAAAATATGTCCATATCTTTGCTTCTTGTTAGGTATAACAAATTAGCTGACCGCAGAGATAATAAGCTCCACATTGCAAAAAGCAACTCAATTGAAGGAAACAGCCTCGTAGAAGATATGGTATGTACTGCCTAGGCGCTTTTATGGCTCTATTGATTACAAAATTTAGACTACTCCTGTTCCTAAATTACATATTCTTTTGATGCAGTCTACTGAATTGCACATTTATACTGACTTCTTGAGGCTTGTCTTAGAAATAATAAATGCAATCCTGACTTATGCACTGCCTCGGAATCCTGAGGTATTTGATCTTCTACTTGGTTGATTGAAGGTTCATCACGTCTATTTTTATCTAGTTCTGAACAGTTGAATTTACACGATGAACTTTTGTGCCTATTGTATTTATTTCTTATGTGACTGGGGCAGGTAGTATATGCAATAATGCACAGACAGGAAGTCTTTCAGCCATTCAAGAATCATCCACGCTTCAATGAATTGCTTGATAACATCTATACTGTATGTTTAATATATTATATTTAAGTTAAAGTTATAAAACATGTTTTCCCTTTGAAATCTTGCAGCTTTTAAAGAAACAAGTTTTGTGCTGTCTTCAGTTACATTAATGATTCTTGTCTTTGTATATAATACATCATGTTTCTCAAAATGTATCTACTAAATATTTACAGGTGTTAGATTTTTTCAATAGTCGCATGGATGCTCAAAGAGTGGATGGTGACTGGTCAGTCAATGAAGTGCTCCAAGTCATAATTGTCAATTGTCGTTCCTGGAGAGGTGATGGAATGAAGGTAAGATGGAAATATATTATTTTGTGATTTGTGGTCTGCTACTTTGCTTCCAATGGGGAATATCGTTTGGTAGATTTTTTGTCATATTTTTATGAAGCTGATCTTGTTTGGCAGATGTTTACTCAACTGCGCTTCACATATGAACAAGAGAGTCATCCAGAAGAGTTTTTTATCCCATATGTCTGGCAGCTAGTACTATCCCATTGGTATGGTTCCTGGAGCTTCTTATTCACGTTGTCTCAAAGCTACTTGTAATTATTTCTTTTATAATTGTGAATTTGTTGGGTCTTACTTCATTTTGTTGTGCTTGTAAACCAAGTGTGTTTGCTCATTAAGTACCAATATTGGATAATCATTATGTATTGAGGCTTTAGAGACTCTATCTCTAGGGGATTAATTCTAGTATAGTAGTATCTATCTTATTATTGATTTTAACTTTTGTTAATTCTTTTCTACCTATGGTTTTTCTCATTCTGTGCATGCCACTAATACAAAAACTGGGTCCTCTTCAGTGGATTCACATTCAACGCAGGAGCCATAAATTTGTTTCCAGTTGATCTACATACAGAAGTATGTGTCTGAAACACTCTATCTGTTTTTTTTTGTTCGTGTGTACATGCAATTTCTAATCAAACAGTGCAACTTTTTTTAAAAAAATTTCTTGTGTGACAACATTGGTATCTTTTCTTTAACATGTTACTGTTTTTTGCAATGGATTAATGTATCCCATCAATATGGATCTCACTTGTCATTTGTGTAGTGCAGAATTGAATGTACATTTATTTTCTAAGAAACCGAAGTCTTTGTCCGTTTGACAAAAATTGAACCACCCCATTGTATTTGACGTATAAAACAAGTACATTAAAGGGTCTTTGTGTAGTGTTTGGTCAACATCAATTTACTGTAATATGACATCAATTTCATTTGTATTGGATACGAGATACTGATTTCTTCTCTTGTGTTGGGGATTGACTTATGCAGAGACTTGAAAATGGTGAGGTGGGAAGCACACTCCAAAATGGTGATTTTGACAAGCCTGAGTATCAGCTCGATCCATAGCCAGTGGGGTATTACGAACGTGGCCTCTTAAGACATTAATTAGTTCTATTGGTGAATATTTGTACATATGGAATAGATGATATGATTTCCGGAGAGAAAAAAAAAATGCTAAGATGTGTATTGTTCTCATTCTTTTATGTTCATATAATTTGAGTGTAGAGGTTCATTCCCGTAGATGAAAATCAGAATATCCATGTAATCAATAAGGATGACACTAATATCCATGTCATGTCATATAATAAGTTTTTGTAGCTCTGTTCATTTGCTTGCGCCTCGGCTATTATATCATTATTTTGCAAACTTATATAATTATAATATATATTTTTTATATTTTAAATGTTTCTTTAAAAAAAACAACTACATACAATTATACAGACAAGATTGCTTTGGTTGATCACTTTTGTGAATTACATCTATTGACCAACACGCTCTCAGCTATGTTTTCGTAAGATGCTCACAATCTAGAAAAAAAGAAGTGTGTATGTGCTATATTATTTTGTGTTTCATTCTCTTAGGGTAGAAGTTCCCTTTAGTTAGAAATGTTTAGGGTATCAATACATCTAGTTAGAAATGTGAGACATTGCTTTGGGAAGATTGTTGGATAGTTTATAAGCCAGTATATTAACTAATTTAATGTGCATATTATTTTATTACTTTTAAAGTTATATATTTTACCTAATAATATAATTTTAAGTTTTAATACAAATATATTAAAATTTTATTTATTTAATACACATGCAAATAAATGCACGAGCGTATTCTTTTATATCACAGTATATTTTAGCAAAAAAATTTAATTGAATTAATTAATTAATTTTTAAATTTCATTCCCTAATTTTTTTGCCCTCATTTTTATATGTTCAATTTCCTTTTCTTAGTTTGCGTGGCATGTTATTTGTCCTATAATACTGGTCTTGATTTGTATCCTCTGAAAATAGTTAAGGGTCTAACTAGTTATTATTAATATTCTTAAGGGACTAGAAATGAAAGATAATATTTTTATTTTAAAATACATTAAAAAATAAAATAAATATTCTTAAGGGATCAAAAAATGTTCAAGAATACGAACAGGATTGCTTTGAAGTTTTAAAGGTGACCTTAAAGTGTCCAAAAATTTAGTATTAACAATTGGTGTTCTGGTTGAAATGATGAGGGAGTGACAGTGTTATTGAAAAAAATAAATGTATGAACTGTCACATATAAGATGAAGTTTCGCGCGTTCCCCTTTTTTCTATTATACTATTAGCTACGTATTATACTTTTCTTTTTTTCCAGCGCAAACCGCAAATGACAAGAGACAAGAAAATAAAACAAGAACCAGCACCTTGTTTAAAGGTCAAAAGGGATAAATTTTTTTACTTCATTTCTGACGATTTGTTGTACTTGTCTTGCACTTTGTTAAACCGCTTTAGTTATTGGGATAATCACAAGTCAATCCCATGAAATATGCTCATGATCAATGTAAAATTCTGTATGTAGATTAAATCAACAAAACATAGCAAAACCAAATAGATTGGCTCCTAACCACAAATTCTTAAGGCCATTTTGGTGTCTTAGTGACTAAATCATACCAGGGTACTGCTGACTAATTTACACCAGGGTACTACCCTTGACATACTCGGTAAAAGCAAGGGCAACTAAACCCAGCATAGCAAACCTCCCATTCCACAGCTCCGCATCTGAGGACATGAACCCTTGGGATTTAGACTCCACACTAACCCCTTGAAATAGTGGAATCAAAGAAGCAAGGGAAAGAATCACACTTGTTCCTAGGAACCATGGAATGCCACCATTTGTTATCTGTTCAAAGACACCCTGCCCATTAGCTATTTCAACTGCTATTGCAGCTACAAACCCAATCATAGCCAGCCTTCCATTGATCCTCTCAGGTGCTGGCCCACTGAATGCCAATACGTCCGAAAATTTTGTGCTCACCTGCCATAATTTCGTTAATCATCATTTAAATTGAGGTTCTCTTTCGTTCATTGACAACTATATATTAATTCAATTACATAAATTATCCAGTTCCAAAAGAATAAATTAATGAAAAAATAAAATCAGTTATCAGTGCATTTACATTGTTACCTTCAATAAACTTCAATAATTTAGATGAAAATTTCTAATCTAGCAAGCTTAATTACTGATTAAGGAAACCCTAAATTATTAATGGCCCATGAAGAATATACAATAATTGGATTCTCACAATTGATGGCCTAGAATCAAATCAGAGAGTACTGTTCAAAACAGAAGATGTAGTATTGCTCTACACATAACACTATACTCACCTTTGGTGAGCGAGATGAAGCTGACTGTGGCTTGGGGTTTGGTGCTGGTGCTGATGCTGGTGGGGGTGTAACCGGGGTTGCAGGTTTACTTGGTTGCTCATTCTGCTCTTCCTGCACGTAAAAACCAATGATTCATTTAAACATGAAAATTCCTGTGCACCTGATGAAACATAAACACGATATATACTATTACTGTTTCATCTGATATTTGGCTAGTGATCCAATACCTCAGCCATGGACCGAACTTTCAACGTTGCACTCCTTCTCAGGCTCGGCATATACGTAGCAGGAATGCCAAATCGGTTCACCCTAGTCCTGCTTGGAATGTGGATCATAGGGTTTGCCAAGATAGATTGCATAGCAAAAGATGAGACAGCCATAGATAAAATGGTTATAATATCACAGATCCAAGATGCACACTATAAGGAAATGTGACCAAGCCAACCACAAGGACTAGAGAAATTGAAGATTATCTTAGCACTCTAACTCAAAAATATTTATGACAAACTGCAACCTAAAGAACTTCACTGTAGTGTATTCACTGCAATTAAGTTGGCAGGTAAAGTGACGAACAAGGTTGTTTATATAGAATTAAAGGGCTAGCATTGTGGTGGATATTTTGGTTCCACGTCATGTGTATGTTGGTACTAAAGGTCATTGGTTCACGTGGGTTCACTTGTCCTCACATAGTAAAAGCAAGAGACGTGGCTCCCATGAGGACCAAAGACACCCTTTGGTGAATGTGAGGTTTTAGAATGGTTGGAGTGTGGAACTTGCAGGACTACAATTATTATTTTTACTGCTTCTTAGTTTGATAAGACTGGAACATTCTACACACATCTAGACAATTGGTGGCTCCGAATGATCCTTAATTAACCGATAAACTTTAACTCTCCTTAAAACAATGTTTTTGCTCTAACCAAAATGCTTTGTATCCAAAGCATAATAGCTGGGGTTGCAAGCGTAATTTTTTGAACGCTTCTTGCAATTAAGATCACATGCCTTACTTCTAAGAATCGACTTCAAATTTGTGTACGAAGTATAATATAGCTTAGTTTGTAGGATTTATCCTGGTTCGCTGTGTATATTATTATTGAATTATACATTATTATATATTAAAAGAATTTGGCTTCATAAATTATTATTATTATCATAGAACTCTCAAAGAGTAGAAAGATTTTTTGTGATTATCAATGTAAATAAGAGGGTTGCAAATTAATCCCACAAAACAAAATACTGCTGCAAAATGTTTAATCAGATATAACATTTAAAAATAGTTTTTTAAGAAGCAAAAGAGATTTTTAGACACTTTCTGGTGCATAATTGTTAATTTGTGATTAGAATTGCTTGTATTATACTAATTCTTTAGTTTCTAAGGTAAATAACATTTTTTTATATAATAAATATATTTTTTCTAATAAATATGTTTTGGTGTTTGTTTTCTTAAAAACAATATTTTTATTTGATTAACTAAACAGACGGGATAGCTACTAATTAATACCGCAAAAGTATTAAAATTTTGAAAAAAGTAGGTTATATATATATATATATATATATATATATATATATATATATATATAATCTGTAACCAGTATTTTAAACCGTTATGAAAATAAATCTGATATAAAGCCCAGAATAGTAAATAAATAAATAAAGCTGCTCTCTCTCTCTCTCTCTCTTTTTTTTTTTTTACATATATGAGAAAAAATTCAAATTACTAAAATATGAGATTTAAAAATACAAAAATATAAAAAAAAAATTCAAAAACTAGCCGTGACAATTTTTGACATAAAATTATTGCTTATTTTTAATTTTTAATTTTTTTAAAAACTCGTCCTTAACAAATTTAGATACTTTATAATTTTATCTGTTTCATTTTTAAATTTTTGCACATAATCTAAAGGTAATGTTTGAACCCTATATTTTCTTAAAAATACCATATTTTAGTATATAAATATCATATATAAAAAAACAATCCGCTTTTATTTTTTCCATTTCTCAGTCTTTTTTCTCTAGGAGAATCGCAGTGGTTATTTTACTGTGATAAGCATGATGGTCGAACACAAACACAACATTGTTTCATTATAGACTTGCACGGTTCTTCTCACAATTACTTTGGGGGTGTAGTTGCAAACTTCCAAGTATAGTTTGATAAAGTATCATATTCTCGTTTCCCAGCAACTTCATAAACAGGAACTGCTTCAGAAATTTCCCTCAAATCTTCATCTGTAAGCTTCACGATCAGAGATCCCATGTTGTTTTCAAAGTTCCTTAGTTTAGTAGTCCCTGTGATATAAAAAAAAATATATAAGATATGATAACACTTGGTCAATAGAAGTAATTTATATATTCTCATGTTTGCAATAACTACACATTTTATGGACAAAATTTAAGTACTATGAATGAACAAATGCACATTAATGTCATGCTTTTCATTTCTTCATATGGTGATTTTCATGAGAAATTGAGAAAAATAAATTGGCAGAATTTGTTAAGCATTTGATATAGAAACACAAGAATTAACAGTAGAAGCAGATAGTAAGCAACTCATCAAATATGTTGAACACATAAGTCTTCCTAAATGTAACAAAGACACTACCAGGGATAGGGATTATGTCATTTCCCTGATGTAGAAGCCAAGCTAAGGCTAATTGAGAAGGAGTGCATGCATGCTTAGAAGCCAAGTCATCAAGTCGTTTATAGAATAGTTTGTTCTTCTCCAAATTTTCTCCACTGAACCTCGGATGCATAGCCTGATACAGAAACAAGAAGAAATCTCAATAGACAATAGCTGCAGGAATAGAATTAAGACTGATATTTATGGCACTTTCCCGCAGAAGAGATCCGTTCCAACTCCAACATAGTTCAAAGTTCAAACCACCCTTGCCAATGTTATTTTGACTATCATAATAGGGAAAAGCTACAACATCATGCAAACTTGAAACTGTGTTACTTGTTTGTTAATAGCTTCATACCAGCAAGCTCTGACTAGGCAAGTTCTCAACCACTGCCTTTCCAGCAAAGAATCCACGACCAAGAGGGCTATATGCCACTATTCCAATTCCCAGTTCTCTGCAATTACATAATACTAGTTATATAATAACAATATTTTTCTGATAATCTAAGTTAAAATCATGCATGAAATAGCTAGAAAACATATCAAACTATAAGTTCGAGTATAACTGCGACAATATAGATATGAGATAATATTTCTATTTAATTAAATACCTGCAAAGTGGAATTATTTCTTCTTCAATGTCACGGGTCCATAAGGAATACTCCATTTGCAAGGCAGTAATGGGATGAACAGCATGTGCTCTCCTTATAGTGTCAGCATTAGCCTCTGACAACCCAATATATTTTATCTTTCCTTCATTTACCAGCTGTTTGAGCTCTCCCATCTTCCATACAAAGGTCCATATTAAAGCACTTAATCATCTATAGTTTAGAAATTTTGAAATGATATGCATAACTAACAACAGAGAAAAACCATTCAATGCTTACGGTGTCTTCAATTGGCACTGAAGTGTCAACTCGATGTTGATAGTATAAATCAATATATTGGACATTAAGCCGCTTAAGACTAGCTTCACAGCACACCCGCACGTATTCAGGGGTACCTTTTATCTCAAAAACCATCCCACCAGAATTAACAACACCAAATTTTGTAGCCAGTTGAACTTTTTCTCGTGGAAGTTGTTTTAAAGCCTAATAACAGAAGAAAAAACATCTGTTACTATATTAAATTTACATTTTCCACGAGTTTGTTTTACTCCACCAGGTGATTGCCTAAACAAGCTTATAAATAATGCTAACCGTGGAAAGCTTTTATTACAAAATGTTATTAATGCATATGATTTTAAATGTAATCTATCATGATTTCTATTGAAAACTTTTCACTTTTGATTCCTTAATCAATGCTTTTTATATTTATGTCATGTTATAATGAAATTTGTGAGACATAAGTCAAGCCATTTGTCATATCTAAAGAGTGATCTATTTGTGAACCAGTTGTTAACACGTGATAAAATTATTACAATTTGCGACTAATGCACATTGATTATGAATTAAAATTGAAAAATATCATTTAGTTGTATAACATGTTACCTTACCTTACCAACCATGATTTCATTATCATGATTATGACCATAAAGATCCGATGTATCAAAGAAGGTAACACCCTTATGGAATACTTCCTTAATTATTGAACATCCTTCATCATGCGAGAGGGGGGCATTATAAATTCCAGATAATCCTCCACATCCAAAGCCCAACCTAGAAACCTGAATTCCACAAATGAAATATATACAGCAGGTTCTTATCTTATCACAGATATCCAATCCACATGTACAATTAACATCAAATTTCTGCTCTCTCTCTTCATTCCTGTTTCGAACTGAATACTGTTTGGCTTGAGGTAAGTATTCCGCACCAACAAGTCAATCGGTGAACCAGCAATTAACAAAAAATTTGAGCATTTATTTAAATTTTATTTTCACAAATCACAATTCATATCCAATGTAAGCCTTAGAAATAGAATCATGTAATTTTTTCTTTGATCAAACTAATTTCTTTAGGTTGATGACAATAAGCACAGATATCCTTCCTTCAACCAAGTGGTCAACTGCAGGGATTGATAAAAACTAGCATATGATAGCAATTGATGGTACTGAAAAAAGGGTTTAATGTCATCTTTGTTCCTCTTAACAACAAAACTGGAAGATGAGTTGGTAAACAAGTAGGATGAAAAACACCCACGTGAAAATATTAGTATTGGGGGTTGAAGATCACCTCTAAGCCTTGGGTACCCAGTTTCACTCTTGGGACTAGCATCTGGCTCTCCCCTTTCTCCATTTTTCAACGCTTGTTCTGTTCACTCCTTTGATGCAAAGGAGAAGACTTTATTGACACAGAAAAGCAAGACCAGATTAAGAAATACGCTGAAACCATGAAATATTCCTGTCAGTTGTCAAAGTGGAGTGTACCACCCTGTCACACACTACCCAAACAACTTTTCGGTGTAGAATTAGAGAACGACAAAATTAATTATTGATTTATTTTATATTATTTTTATAATTATGAATATTAAATTTAATATATATAAATAGGTTATTTAAATTTTAATATTTTAAAAATATATCATCGTTACAATAAAATAACACCATAAAATATATATTAATTTCGTTTTTATATAAATTTTATAAAATTAATTATTTAATACAAAATTTAAAATTAATTATTGAATTAATTTATTTTTTATTTTATAAAAAATTATTAAATAATATAAATATCTAAATTTAACATTTGATTAACTTTTTTATAAATATCTAAATTTAACATTTGATTAACTTTTTTATAAATATATTTTTTAAAATTATTTATTAAAATATAATTTTTTTAAAACAAATTTTTTGATTGGAACGCCTTGAGACACTTTATCACTGATTTGGTCACTTGCAGGGACAATTTTTTTTTCCATCACCTAATAAAATTAAAACTATCTCAAAATACAATTCACCGGAGAGTTTTATTAGTAAAATAAAAAATATTTTTTTTATCTTTATAATTAACACTTATTTACAAAATAATTTTTATACTTAAAAATATTTTTATATTTATTGTTTATATTTTAATCTTTATTGTTAACTAGTTAATCATGTTATAATAATAAAGTTTAAAGTGTAATAAAATACTTAATATATAAACTAAAACATAATTTATTTTAAGTGTAAAAACTGATTTGTAGATAAATATTAATTATAGAGATTAAATACATATTTTAATTAAAAATAAAAAAAATTAATAAATTTGTCGAAAAAATTAAAAATGAATTATCAAATAAAAAATCTTAAAATTTGAAAATAATAAAAATTCATATATTTAAGTCAAAAATTATTTATAATTTAAGATTATATATATTTATTGATAAAAATTATTGATTTAATAAATACATAAATTAATGAAATAATAATAAGTACAGTTAATAAAATATTAAGAATATTTTTATTATGATTAAAAAATTATCTAGACATATTTAATCTTTTTGAGACAATATAATATATAAAAAAAAAACTAAATATACCTAAATATTTTGTTTGTCTAATTGATAGAGAAAGTAACAAAAACTGACTAAATAATATTTTGAATTGATATAATAAAATTTATTTATTTACATTATAACAAAAAATTATAAATTCATTTATGTAATGAAATAATTTTTTTAAAATATTGAATAATAGTGTAATTTTACATTTTATTAGTTAAAAATGAAGTGTTATGAAAAAATAATTAAATTATAATAAAAAATTAACTACTTTTAGTGTATTATATTATTTTAAAATTATGATTAATTAAAACACGTAATTAGTTCGATACGTTTATAAATTAATTTTTATATTTTAAAAAAAATTCACATTTCACTTTTTATATTTAAAAAAACTTGCATGTTAGTTTCTGTGTAAGGAATAAAAGTATTGCCATGGAGAGACTGCCTTGGCTGACAAAGTTCATTCAATGCATACTAAAACTAAGAATCAATATTTTTTTTATCTACTTGTTAAATGCGCCACACTTTCTTGGCACAGTTAAAAAACAATTTAATCAAATATAATTATATTTTTTAAAATATAATTATTATTAAGAACACTGAAGTATAATTATTTTAAAGTGCTAAAAATTAATGTTCTTTTAATAGGGCAAGATTAACGTATTCTGTTGCACGACACAAAATAAGATAAAAATATCTTATTTAAAAGCTTTAAAATTATATGAATCATTGACTAAAATTAAATAGTTAAAAATAAAAAATGAGTTTAATTTATGAAAAAATATATTAATAATTTAACGTATATTTTTTTTATTTTTTTTATTTCATTCATTTTTGTTTGTTTGTAAATATTTGCAAGTAATAAATTTTTTTATGTAAAAAATATAAAAAATTATAAAACTTAAAATTTTGAAATTTAATTTTTTAAATTAAATAACTCTCAAAAAAGTTATATTAAATAGATATATAATTTATATAAATATAATTTTTTTATTAAAAGTTATATCATTTTGAAGTGTACACGTTAAGTATAATAACATTCAAAAATTTTTATTGTCTAAAAGAATTAATATAAAAAATATATTAATTTTTTTTTATTTTTTATATCAAAGAGAATTGATGTATAAAATATGTAAAATTAAAAAAAAACTTCTATATTTAAAAAACTGATATAGAAAGTAATATTATTTTAAAAATCTATTATTTACGTCAAACAGTCTTCATTAATTGTGACTGTGATAGTTAAAAAAAAAAAAAAAGATATATGATAAAAGATATTATATTTTTTTACTTTCTATCCTTTCTAACAGAATCTTTGAATAATATAAATTATTAACTTTTTAAGTATTTTATGCTTATAATATAATATTAAAAATTAATGTTTCTTTTTTACTTTCCATTTGTTTCTAACGACTTTTTATCTTTTTAACAATTCATACTTAATGGCAAAGTTTGAATAATATGATTTATTAATTTTTTAAGTACTCTATGCTTACACTATAATATTAAGAATCATGTAATTTTATGCTTACAAATGAATAAATTAATAACCATAAAAATAAGATCAGAATTTCTAAGTCACATATCCACAACCACAGTCAATAATATAGATATTTTTTATCTTATATAGGTAAGAATTAATATAAATTATTCATCTAATTTTTATTTTATTTTTTTCAGTTTCAATTCTACTCATTGATTTATTACAAAATTAAATTATTTATTTTAAATGATTTACAGTTTTTATTAAAAAATATTACTTTTCTAATTTTTTTACTTTTTTTCCCTAACAATCATATATACTGTGGTTAACTTTACTTATTTTAAGTTTTATATTTCAAATTTTTTATTGAATTATATATCTTGTATTTAATATATTTTGTGGATTGTATTTAAATTAACTATTGATGAAATTTTTTTTATCGTTTATTATTCTTTAAATTTTATATTTAATATTTTCTGTTTCAGTGTTGCAAACAGCTAAGACCAACTCTGTTTTCTGATTGGCTGGTGCACGTTGTTGGCTCTATCTACCTTTCACACGTAAGCTCAACTAAACGACACCTCCATCAGAGCCTTGCGACCTTCACCACGTGCCGTTTTGTTGCACTGCACTCGCAAAGACGAGAAACGGAGTAAAGGATCAATTTTTGGGGAAGAAGTGAGAGGGTTGAAGAGATCTGGGAAGCGTTTCTCACTTGCAGTTGCTCACAATCACAATTCATCGTAATTTCGTTTCATCATAAAACCCCCAAAAATAAAAAGGGGGCAAAATGAGAAGCGCCAAGATGTGGACGATTTTCATGTGTCTGGTTCTCAGCTTCTTCGCTCGCATTCAATCGCTCTCCGTCACGGTGAATGACGTCGAGTGCGTCTACGAATACGTGCTATACGAGGGTGACACCGTTTCGGGAAACTTCGTTGTCGTCGACCATGACATTTTCTGGAGCTCCGATCACCCCGGCATTGATTTCACGGTGAGTGCAATCTCAATTTTCAATCACCTCCATGATCTAATCATTGACTTACCCAGTTACTAATTGGTTAAATTATCAAATTAGGGTTTATATATATATATATATATATTTATTTATTTATTTTTTCTAATATCGGCATGTTTACTAAAGATAGAAATCGGAATCTGGAACTCATTCTCCATACTCCTTTTGAAGAATCTGTTTGCAAATTGAATGGCAACCTTATAGATTTAGGAGGCGTTTGAAGAGCTTAGGGTGAAAATAATCCATGACTATGAGCACTTTTTAACTTATTCTTATAAATTTTTTAATCTAATTTATGACATAAGCCTTCATGTGATAAGATTTTATTGAATAAATGTTTAATTAAGTTGTTTACCCAAATGCACCCTGATTATCCGATCTCCAGCAGTTTACACTTTTGTTTACTACGGAGTGCAGCTTGAGGCCTGACTATATTGTTATAAACCGTGGGAGACTTGTTCGTTATAAGCCTTCTGCATGAAAGTGGGTTTGTTATGAGTCCCTCTTTAATTAGAAAAAATAAATAGTGCTTGCTATGGTAACCGTAAACTCGAGAGGGTCTTCAATACCTTTTTTTTTAACTAAATCACAATCCCCATTATCTATTAGTATAAAAGTAACGGTGACGATTGTTTCACGTGTAAAAGAGGGTAACAGACTCTCTCATTTATAAAGGGTGTCATAGATTTTACCAAAAAATATTCAGTGTGTTACTTAAGTTATGGGATTTTCTCACCTAATGGATTAGGTTTTTGGGTTGGACTCTTCTCATGTGCTTAGATCATAACTTTAGACTACTCTATAATAATGTACCCAATACTGATAGGTGAAAGCAGCCGCCAATATAAGGGAAAAGGGTTACCATTGGATTAGTTTCGATAGAGTAAAAGCTGGTGTGGACGTTGGCTCTTAAAAGGGTGGCAACGGTATGAGTTCCTCATTGAGTAAAATAAGATGCTCAATATGGTACTAAGTTATGGAGCTCTCCGATCCGATCTAATAGACTAGTTTTTAGGTTGGACTCTCCTAATGTGCCAAAATAGAACAGGGTTTTATGTAAAAACGATGTGTGCTAGTAATTATTATAGGAAACACATGGAGCCATCTATGGTTACTGATTTGTGAATCCATTGTGGCGGAGCAGTCCCTTGCTGTCAAAATGAGACCCACCCAGAATTGCATATTGTTTTAATTTTGGAGTTATTTGCAGGTGACATCTCCTGGTGGAAATACTGTCCAGAATATCAAGGGGACCTCTGGCGACAAGTTCACCTTTAAAGCCCCAACACATGGAATGTATAAATTTTGTTTTCATAACCCATACTCAACGCCTGAGACTGTTTCTTTCTACATCCATGTTGGTCATATTCCCTCTGAGCATGACCTTGCCAAAGATGGTATGTTCTCTGTGTAAGCTGGTTTTCTTAGTAGATTCTACTATCCTATTGCAGTGTTACGTCATTTATATGTTTAGGTTTTAAACAGTACAGTCATTAATTATTTACCTGAGGTACTTCTTGATGTTTGTGAAGAATGATCCAAGTGTTTCTTTTCTTTACTATTTATTGGTTCTCGGGGCTTCCTAACTTTGATGATTTGCAGAGCATTTGGACCCCATTAATGTAAAAATTGCTGAGCTCAGAGAAGCACTAGAGTCTGTTACAGCTGAACAAAAGTACTTGAGAGCTCGTGATGCAAGACATCGACATAGTAAGTAGTTTTCTTTCCTACGAGCTTGCACTGTTCTCTACTTGTAGGAATTTGATTGTGATAGTCATGATATTATTCTTGCAACCATGTATGCATTTGTAGATTTACTTTTCTTTCTTGAGATTAGTAGCGAATGTAGCAAAACGGGAGAAAAACTCTTTTTGAGTTTATGTATTTAAATTGTATAGTGCTAGAGGTTTCCGCTAAAGTGAGACCTACACGTGGACTTCAAGATCTCCTGAGATTTTTGGCCATTAAAAAGTTCTTTGTGCGTTTTCATATCTGAAAAGTATGAGACCTATAAATGGCATAGCAAGAAGCTGCCCCAGGAGGCTTCTGTGATAGCTAACATCCCTTCTGCCAGAAAGGGCTATTCCTGTTTGTTACAGCCGTAGTAAGTTAATAACAAAATAGATAGAAACATTACATTCTTGGTACTTGGTTTCATATTTTGGAAATAATCTGTTTCCCCATTAAGGTAGAACAGTTTATGCATTCTAGGATATAAGAACCGGTTAGTTTGTTGTTCAAGATTCGGTGCAGTGAAAATTGGATGCAGTCCATGCAGTCAGTAAATTGGAGTCTTCGGATGAAAATTGAATGGGTGTCAGATTTTGATTTTTGCAAGTTGGATTCAAAACATGAACCTGGAATCTAGGCCATCTGATTTTTATCCAACAATTCTGACTTCTAACTGCAACAATATTGTTGACTAAGAATGTTCTAATTTCTGCATTGATAAACTGTTCAGTCATGATATCGGTTGACTATGCAATTATGATGCTGCTTTCACCTTCAAGAATAGTAAGCACTTGGGATGATATGTTTTTCTTATCAAAGACAAAGTAATGATATTGGTAAATAGGAACACAACAGCCACTACCTTAATCTTTCACTGACTCACTTCCTTTTGTTGTTTGTAGCGAATGAGAGCACACGTAAGCGTGTTATATTCTATACTGTGGGAGAGTACCTTCTGTTGGCTGGTGTTAGTGCACTGCAAGTCATATACATAAGGCGCCTTTTCAGCAAGTCAGTGGCCTACAACCGTGTTTGAGTCTCCTCTCTTATTTAGCGACAGTGTTAGGTTTACATATCTGTTCTGTTCTATTTTAAACCATATAATCCTTATCCAACACTTTTTTCAATTCAACATAGACGTGACTTTATTTTGATACCCAACATGATTTTTAAATTCCTTAGTTTCAATTTAAATGGATTGACAGAAATTAATAGAATCGTGTGGGGTGGGAGTCGATGCTTATACTACGATTCTTAAATAAAGCTTCTGTGAGTTCTTAAACGGTTGAAGTAAAATAAGATATTTTTGGTTAATCAAAACCCATACTGCTTCCTTTGACACGTTCTTCCAGCATTTGGCTCTATAAGCTGTGCATTTTACACGCAAAAAGTGAGAAACTCCAGCGGATACAAAATCTATAATTTTTTCTTAAAGTCAAAAAATATTAACTTTAGTTTTTAGGTGTTAAAAAATAATTTTAAAAAACGATGTAAATGAAAACGTTTCTCTAAGTAGATTTAGCCTTCAATTTTTTATAACTTTACAATTAAGGTTTTCCATTTTTTTATTCAAAATCTTATAATTCTTCTAAGTAAATTTGATCATTTAATTTTAAAAATATAAAGGCTTTTATTTATTAGAAAGAATTTGAGAGGTCAAAATTATGCACAATTTAAAATAAAAAGAATTAAAAGCGTATGTTTGTATATGTTGTTAAAATTCATTTTTATAGAAATTTGTCATTTAAATTATTTTTTCACTACACCAAATTGTATTTACTTGAGTATAAAGGCAGTGCACGAAAGGCTATGCCTTCGTTAATGGCAAGCGTTGCTGTTGAGCGAGGCAACTACGTAGAGGGTGCTTGGTGGATACTAAAAAGAAGATACAGAATTTGTTTGTTTCGGTTATTTTTTTAAATTATTTTTTCATTTTTTAAAAATTATTAAATTATTTAACTTTTTAAAAAGTTCAATTTTTCAAAGAAGTTTTTTATTTATTATTTTGAGAAAATTTTGAGCAATTTTTAAAAAATAAAATAATTTTTAAAATAAAAAGTGCTCTGCAGAATGGACACATGTTAAATTAAATATGGACACGTATTAAATTATAATAGGTTTATAAAAATAAGGTATTATACCTTATCAATTTTAATCTTTCAAGGTATCGCAGAATTTAGTTTATAATTAAATAACATATAACTTTTGCTTTTAAATAATTCTTTGATATATAAATTAATTTTTAAATTAAATAAACAGGCCATAATCCAGTTTTATCACATGATAAATTAAAAAATCTATTTAATTTGCATTATATAAATTTCTCTGTAACACTAATTTAATTTCCTATGCCCGTGCACTAAATAGAAATAAAAAAAAAAAGGTGAAGTCTCCTTTGTTGAAAATTCAAAAGAAACTGAATGAAAATAGCAAAAAAAAGAAACAATCGGTGGTTTAATTGGTTGATTTATCTTGATGCAACCAACCCTGATGCTCTGGATATGGGATCAAAATTGTGTCTTCCCCTTTCCTGTCTCATCGATCACAATTTGACATCTCAATTAATAATTTCATGTTACCTTCCACTCATCTTTCGTTAAGTTACGCTTTTCTCCATGTAAAATCGAATACTGCTCTTTCTTTAGCTGCAACACCTCACTTAAAGCCTTCACTAGCGTCTTCTCCAATGCTTTTGCATTCATTCACACCCTTTTTTTTTTCTCATATTTACTGTTTAATGCAGTAATGTTCGTGAACAATGGGGATTATCAATTTTGTTGTAGGATATTAATATTATTAGTGCCTCTCTGTTGAAGTTTGTGTAACTTTATCTCATGGACCAATAGCATCATTTTCAATTACGAAAAGTGCATCGGTAGTTATAAGGGGATAGACATGTGAGACAGACGATTTTAATCCCTGTTATGCTTGGTACTTGGTAGAATGGTAGCTGCAGTTTCTTTTTCGTTTTATTTAAAATATAAATTTTTACTTCATAAGAAACTTGTATACATGCCTTCAATTTTTTTGAAGGATACGTTAAATTAAAAAGATAAAATAACAGTGCGCTTAACTGGTATTTTTAGAATTACTGAATTAGCCTTCATCTTTAACGCTGGAGAAGAAAGGGAGGTAGGTTGCTGATCAGAGAAGAAACCGAGAGCATGAGAAATCGTTGAGTTGACTCAGTAGAGCGATTCGATGGAGTGCTTCGAGTGCCTCCAACTTCGAGTAAAGTCAGATTTCTCTGACCAAGTCTTTTTCAATTATGGCATCTCCGCTTCTGCTTTTCCCTTCGGATCCTCAGCTATCGTCCATGTCTCTCTCTCTCTCTCTCTCTTTGAATTTTCCGATCGAATTTTTTTTACTCAATCTATTTTTTTTTTTAATTTTGTTTTTGTTTTTCGGGAAATAGATTTCTGGTACAGCAGATGGTGAAGCTTCGGGTGGTCAATTTGTATTACAATACATGCCGAGTCATGAGAAGAATTGTTTTACCAATTATGTGTAAGATTCATGTTCTTTATTATCCTCTTTTTTTCTGTGAATTACATTTTTCCTATAATTTTAATGATGGTTTTGTGAATTACTGATGTTTTACCAATGATGGTTTGATTAATTGTTTCTTTATAATTATTTTTATTATTTTTTTGATGAATTGTTTTACCAATTACCGATGTTTTAGTTCTTGGTTGGGCTATTTGCTGTGAAATAAATGGCTGGTTGGAAGTAATAAACTATTGTTCTGTTTGCAGAAATGAGTATATTTTGGATAGTAGCGAAAGTACATTGAGTAGTGATCCTGATATTGGAGGCAGTCAGCATAATAATGTGGTTGATGGTGGAATTACTTCATTAGATGATTTGGAAAACGGAAAAGCTTCTTTGAAAAACACAACTTGTAATCATTCTGGAAGGTTTTCTTGCTTGAGGACAATGAGTTCACTTGCCCCAATTGCTCGTGTGGGAATGTCTTCCTATTCTACATTTCAAGAGGTTTCCACTGATTTCTTGTCTGGGTTGATCGAAGATCATGTGCTAGATTCGCTTGATCTCTTCATTGAAGGGAAAGCATCTGGACGGGACAGTATAAATTTCCTCAGTTTACTTGGGTTGCCATCGTTTGAGGAGAATACTTTTCCTGGCTCCTTGAGGCATCCAAACATAGCTCCTGTCCTTGCAATTTTTAAAACATCTGATCATGTCAACATGGTACTTCCAAAGACGCCGTACAACTTGGAAAGTATTCTTCATTTTAACCCCAATGCCTTAAAGTCTGATTGGAATAGAAGATTTCTTATATATCAGCTACTGTCAGCCTTATTGTACTTACATGGTTTAGGGATTTCCCATGGTAATATATGCCCATCCAATATCATGTTGACGGATTCATTGTGGTCTTGGCTGAGATTATGGAATGAGCCTGTATCGGAATGTAATTTAACTTTGCAGAAGAGTGAAAGCATTAGTTCTAAACCTGCAAGAATTGGTTGTTGTAATGGTGGTTGTCATTCTGATGGCCTTTATGCTGATCTAAAGCTTTCTCCAACAATAGATTGGCATTCTAGCTTTCACCAGTGGTGGAGAGGAGAACTAAGTAATTTTGAATATTTACTCATCTTAAACAGATTAGCAGGAAGAAGGTGGGGGGACCATACATTTCATCCTGTAATGCCTTGGGTAATTGATTTTAGCTCAAAACCCGATGATAATTGTGATGTAGGCTGGCGAGATTTGAGCAAGAGCAAATGGCGCTTGGCAAAAGGTGATGAACAATTGGATTTCACCTATTCAACGTCTGAAATCCCTCATCATGTGTCAGATGAATGTCTATCTGAATTGGCTGTCTGCAGTTATAAAGCAAGAAGGTTGCCTTTGAGTGTTCTCCGAATGGCTGTTCGTTCAGTGTATGAACCTAATGAATATCCTTCTACAATGCAGAGGCTTTATCAATGGACCCCTGATGAATGCATTCCAGAGTTTTATTGTGATGCCCAAATTTTTGAGTCAATAAATTATGGAATGGCTGACTTGGCTGTGCCTTCTTGGGCAGAGAGTCCTGAGGATTTCATTAAATTGCATCGTGATGCGTTAGAAAGTAATAGGGTGTCATTTCAACTCCATCATTGGATCGATATAACCTTTGGGTACAAAATGTCTGGCCAGGCAGCTATTGCTGCTAAGAATGTTATGCTTCCTCTTTCAGAACCCCTGATGCCAAGATCAGCAGGGCGTCGTCAGCTCTTTACACAACCACACCCCATCCGTCATGCCACTACCAGAGTAACACATCATGGTTACAATAAATATGCCAAAGTTTGGAGTCAAGCAAATGAAATGCAGCCAGAGACGTCTCTTCTATCTGAAACTGCTTATCTACAAGAACTAGAGCAAGCATCTACATTTTCTGAACATGCTAGGCATTTGAATGCTTGTTACCATTATCCCTTAAATCAAGTGAAAGGGAAGAACATCTCATCTTCGGGAGTTCCAACAACACAGAAATTTAGTAGAAGTATGCACAAACTATCCTTGATTGACAGAAATTACTGGGTTCCATGTAAAATAAATCTAATTTCTTTTCTTCAACATATGAAAGAGGAAGATGAAAGCTCCTCAGGATATCCAAACTTGCTGCTTTGGAAGCAGAAATTATCTTCTTCGAAACTTTGCTCAGAAGATGCTGCTAAGGACATATTTTCTGTTGGTTGTCTTTTAGCTGAGCTTCATCTTTGCAGGCCACTTTTTGATTCAATCTCATTAGCATTATACTTGGAAGATGGAACGGTGCCAGGATTTCTGCAGGAACTACCTCCTGATGTTAGATTACTTGTTGAAGCATGTATCCAAAAGGATTGGATGAGGTATCAGTATGTTTGTTCACACATACAACTGAATGCATGTGTTTGGCCTTATTAGGTATGATTTTTATGGTTGATTTTTCTATCATGTTATTGAAGTATTAATTTTTTCTATATAGGAGGCCATCTCCCAAAATTCTTCTGGAATCACCTTATTTCCCTAAGACTGTCAAGTCCTCCTACTTGTTTCTTGCTCCACTTCATCTTGTAGCTAAAGATGAAACTCGCCTTCGTTATGCTGCAAATATTGCAAAGGAGGGTGCTCTCAGGGAAATGGGTGCATTTGCAACTGAAATGTGCGCTACTTATTGCTTACCACTTATAGTAAATGCTGTGAGCGACAGTGAAACTGAATGGGCATATATACTACTGAAGGAATTCATAAAATGCTTAACAGCGCAAGCAGTAAAAACATTAATCTTGCCAACCATACAGAAAATTTTACAGGC